GAGGGGGAAAGCCGCGTCAGTCGGTGGAATCCAGCGAGGCATCAGAAAGGCCATGTGACCAGTGGCAGATAGCCATGTCCCCTGTGCCCTGGGCTGTCCCCTCTGTACGATGCCATCTCGATTCCCGCTGTCACAGTCAGCCACGCGTGATGCCAATCAAAATGTCTTCCACTCCAATGTCCAATCCAGCTGATCCCTCACCCTCCCCCCCTCCATTCCATCCCACATCTCAGCACAGGACAGGCACAAAAGCACCACCTCTCGACTGCAGTCAAATTCAACAAAACTCAGCTTGCTGAATCTCAGTCCGTCATCTTGTGATTTTAGTTTTTGCTTCTTGTTGCGACTCAAGAAGCGTTGTCTGTCCTACTCTCCGACCAGCTCTTCAGCTTCCTAAACTTGAAGCCATGGCCCCCGATCCCGTCCGCGTGCTTGTCACCGGTGCTGCCGGTCAGTAGAACCTTGTTGAATATAGGAAACGTTTTTTCCGATACCAGCATGAGTCCCGATCTCTGATCTTGGAACCACTATGCGCTTTGTTATCATGTGCAGGCCAAATCGGATATGCTTTGGTGCCTATGATCGCTCGCGGCATTCTCCTGGGCCCTGATCAGCCTGTCATCCTTCACCTTCTTGATATCCCTATTGCCGAGACCGCCCTAAATGGCGTCCGCATGGAGCTCATCGACGCCGCTTTCCCCCTCATTCACGGTAGGCCCATCTGCGTTTGAAACGCCGCTTTCTTAGCACGTGCTGTCATACTTGAAGAAAATGTGGGACCATATCACATCTCAAACGTGTCGATCACACTCGTGAAACCCCGCTTTTGCCCCGCGTTTCTTGTTTTCAGGGGTTGTCGCGACGTCGAACGTTGAGGAGGCATGCAAGGGTGTCCAGGTGGCCATCATGGTGGGAGGTTTCCCCCGCAAGGCCGGCATGGAGCGCAAGGACGTGATGTCCAAGAACGTCTCCATCTACCGCGATCAGGCCTCCGCTCTGGAAAAGTTCGCTGACAAGGACTGCAAGGTGCGTGCTTAGCAGCTGGTAGTAAAGCAACAACTTAATCCAATGACAGCGTCGGAATATTCTCGTTTCAATGCCAAAAGCTCGCCTCCAGCAACTCGACATCTTCATCTTCGATAGGTGCTACCGTAACCGCTGGATTGCACTGTACAGCAGTCACCAGATTTACGTTATGTCTCGCATCCAGCTGGCTCTTAAGAAGTTCTCAGTGTCGACCCATCGTATTCTCACACATCCACTTCACGTATCTCTTCCCACGTGATCCCGACAGGTGGTGGTCGTTGCCAACCCCGCCAACACCAACGCGCTCATCCTCAAGGAGTTCGCGCCCAAGTTCCCCGCCAAGAACATCACCTGCCTCACCCGCCTGGACCACAACCGCGCGCTCGGCCAGATCTCGGAGCGCCTGGGCGTGCCGGTGGCTAACGTGAAGAACACCATCATCTGGGGTAACCACTCGTCTACCCAGTACCCCGATGTGAACCACGCCGTCGTCGTCACTCCCGAGGGCGAGAAGGCCGTGCGCGAGCTTGTCAAGGACGACGCCTGGTACGTCAACGGTCACATTGACTGGCCTGAACGCCTCTTCACACTAACAAATACCATAATGATATCTACGTAACATTATGTTTTAGAAATAGACTCAACATTGATTTCGTTACGCTTGCTGAATGGTGTGCAGGCTCGATGGCGATTTCATCAAGACCGTCCAGCAACGCGGTGCTGCCATCATTGCGGCTCGCAAGTTCTCCAGTGCTCTCTCCGCTGCCTCCTCTGCGTGCGACCACATCCGGAACTGGGTCAAGGGCACACCCGAGGTAATGGCCGCTTGCACAATACGACATTGTTTGCTGTTCCGTGATTGCCGTGATTGCCGTTTGGAGGTTCTTATCGCTTCGTTCTGATTCATGCTTTGATTGTTCCGTTCTGCAGGGCTCATGGGTGTCCATGGGAGTGATTTCTGACGGCTCGTACGGCGTTCCCAAGGACATCATTTACTCGTTCCCTGTCACCTGCAAGGATGGCGAGTGGACCATTGTGCAAGGTAACGACTTCTCATGTACTAAGTCTCCGCGCGTCTCGTCTCAAGCCTCTTTATGCTCTCCGTCCTCAGTCGTCTCATTCACTTCCTTGTTGTTTCTTGAAAACCCTTGAGACTTATGTTATCCGTCATGGTTATCCTGGCAGGGCTGTCAATCGATGCCAACTCAAGGACGAAGATGGACGCCACAGCAGCAGAGCTTGTCGAGGAGAAGGAGCTTGCGTACGAGTGCCTCAAGGCGTAAAGCTTAGATCTTGAAGTTCTTCAACTGTCTAAGTTGATCCCGTATACGACATCAATAAGAAATTTTGTTTTATGGTTACAGCTAGCCGGTGCACAGGAGAATGTTATAGGCGGATACACACCACAATTCTCGACATTCACATCATGCAAACTTCCACTAGGTCAGCTCGGGATAGGACAGAAGGTTTTGTGGAATGGCCACCATGCATTCCATACTTACCATTCATCTGGGATGGTAGGGAAAATGTTTGGGCATGGTTGTAGCAGCAGAGACCCACGGAGAGGGAAAGAGGATGCCGTTTAATCGGTGGCCTTATGCAGACCTACCTTACTCTTGGTATTTCTCTACTGTCTAATGCAGATTGTGCATTTTGGAAGACAACCCCCCAAGCACACGGTATTAGTTACGGTACATTTCTATGTATGATCGTGTAGTTCAGACTACATTTGTTTCTGAAGTAGAAAACGTTGCTGAACATAGCAGAAATTTCGATGTGAAACAGCCTAACCTGGGCCCTAGGCTTTGGCCTTGGTCAACTGGCTTGGTTGGTACAGTATCCGGACCAGCATCAGCGGGTATCGTCATGCTGACGCAGTCGCAGGTACTCCGGATGCCGTCCAGCGAGATTTCAAGCAGAGATTAGGAGTTTAGGATGGATGAGCTGACTCGTTACTATCGAGGGAGAGCGAGGGAAAGTAGCAACGTCTATAGATTTTCATGATGGTTCGCGGAGGGTGACACTTCAGCGCGTAGTAGAATTACAGGAGTTATCCGTGTTTCACTTGCCAGTCGCTGCTGCGGAGAGCTTCACGAGGCAGCCAATAACTTACCCAACGCTCGCGTAGACTTCTAGCGTCTGACGATAACAGCAGCTCATTCCGCCTGATTTTTGTGTCTCTTCCTGCGCGGTCATTCTTAACGCAGACACTGGTATCGAGCCGTAGTAACTACTAGCGGACGAGAAGATCATACTTTGTCTCCTAAGGGAAGTTCAAACCGTTTAGAAGACGCTTCATACGTACCCTCGTTACGTATCCACGCCAATCATGGAGTGCCAGCTGTCAGGCGAGCAGATCCGTGGATTGTGCCGAGCAGTTCAGTGCCTGGCCAAGGTGGCTCACAGCGATTACATCACCTTCCTTGCAGCTCCTGTGGAGGTACGACGTGAACGACGGTGGTTACTGAGTGAGAATGTGGAAGCCACTCCTGTGTGTGAAGGTGCCGAACCTAATCATGCATGGAAGTGGAAGCGAGGTACAGATGCAAGCTGATCTTAGCGCAAACTGCCCTGATCCGTCCAATATTGTGAGAAGCTTTACTGTCAGTGTTCGCCATTCTCAGCCTGACTATTTTTTTTGTATCATAACCTAAGCCTTGTCCATCGTCGCAATTGTCTATGCGTGAAATCAAGACGGCTTACTTGAGATTGATTCAAAATACACCTACAACGGTGATCAGCCTCACTCCATTCAGCACTTCCGGCCTGCCCTAATCCATTTCTCACAGTTGTCACTGCGAGGCATCAACACGGCCAAGACGGCCTATCTAGTGGTCAACTTCGCCACGGACTACTTTCAAACCTTCAACCTCTCCCAACCCACCTGCTCCTGCTCCGCGCTCGTCAAGGTGAGTCAAGCTGGTCAAGGCAGGTCAAGTTGGATAAGGCAAGTCAAGTTTCTCTGCACCAACCTGTCATTGGATGCAACTGAATGACTTCTTAGTTGTTGCAGCTTTTGTCCTGATTGCCTGTCGCTGTGTATGTGTAACTCCTACTTTACATCAAAGTTTCTGTGTGTGTTGGTGGGTGTGTGTTGGGGGAGGGAGAGAGGGGGGCATTCGTATGCATATGAGTATTGAGTGCATGTGTTGTGCATATGGTTGATTGTCCATGCGATCATATGATTGCATGTCATGTGCATATGATTGCATTGCATGTGTGTGCGAATACATGACTGCATGTGTTGTGAATATGCGGGCATGTGCATGCACGGGGGGGGGGGGGAGCAGTCAGTGCTGGCGGTGTTCCGCACGGCGCCAGCAGCTATGCAGACCCTCACCATCACAGCGGACGGCAAGGAACCCGACAACATTCGCTGGATCATCGACTGCCAAAACGGTAAGCTGGGTATTTACAGTGGTATGTAAGGGTAGCCCCAAATCGTCAGACTGGATTGCCAAACGGGTATGAAGGGTGGCTGGAGAACCTCCGGCTTGATTGCCAGAACAGCATGCTGATCTGGGCGGCCAAAATGGTTTGCCCTTGAAAAGCAAACTTCAATGCTGAAATGGCACATTGCATATGTCAAGTGACGGGGATCTTCTCTCTGTCCCCGTGCGACTTGAAATGAACTCCTTCTTGCCACTTCTCCCTTTCCCCTCCCTCCTTTCACCACCCTCTGATAAGGCATGCGCAAGACATGCACCATGGCATGTGTGAATGACAGGGAGGGAGGTGCTGTCAGCGTCCATCTAACTTCCAGACAACTCAAGCGCACTTTTTCAATTCCACTCCTTCCTTCCCCTTTCTGCCCTTCCCCTCCTCTTTCCCCATCCTGTCAGGCATGTGCAAGACATACACCATGGCATGTGTGAACGACAGGGAGGTGCTGTCTGTGTTCACCTGACTGACCTTTATTTTCTACACTCGTTCACCTGCTCCCATCTCTACATCCACTACCCATCCCGCCAGGCATGCGCAAGACATACACCATCGCATGTGTGAACGACAGGGAGGTGCTATCAGCGTCCATCGACCCGTCCACGTACCCCTCCTCGCTTGTCGCCCGCCCCAAGGCCCTCCTGCAACTTCTCAACCACTTCCAGTCCACGCTCTCTGAAATTACCATCATTGCTGCCGACCCTGAGGACGTGACAGGCTCAGGAACAGGCACGGGCGGAGGTGCGGCGGGGAGGGGAGGGGGGAGTGAGGCGAAGGCAGTTGAGATGAGGAGCTACGTGGAGCCCACTCTTGCTGGTGGTGTGTTGAAACATAGACGCATGCATGTGTGGGTATGTGTGGTGTGGATGCATGGCACTCTTGCTGATGGGTGTGACACATAGATGTGTGCATGTGGGGTGTCAAATCTTTGGAGCAGTAAGAAGCAGTTGCTCCTCCTCCACTCCGTGCCTTCGCTGCCACTGCATCCTCCTCGTGCTAACAGACGGACGCCCACCGGCCAAGGTGACTTGAGTGACTGGCTCAAAGCTTTTCTGCCTCCTGCTCCTCTGCGCGCTGCCTTACTCCCCGTGCAGGCTCTTCAGTCAGTGTACGGGTGGCTGGAGGCGTTCCCAGAAGCGGCGATACACCCGCAGCTGTGGGTGATACGGCCCCTTAAGATATCAGCCTGAAGCGATCTGTGCTTCAGATCGCTCCTGCTCCTCCCTCTTCTTGCCTTCTCTCCCCGTGCAGGCTCGTCAGCAGATGGGCGGCTGGAGGCGTCACCGGAAGTAGCAATGCACACGCAGCTGTGGGTAGACCCTGGCGAGCACTTTGAGGCGTACTGCCACAGGGGGGATGCCGTGGACGTCACTTTCAGTGTGAAGGAGGTGAAGGTGAGGCGTGTGTGGGGAATGGGGTGTGGAGGATGGGAGGGTGGTGTGGTGTGTCGGGTGGGTGGAAGTGGAGCACTGTGATGTGATGCGTACTGCCACCCACGTGGGCAATTGCCTTCCCTCCTGCTTCACACCCACGTGGGCAATTGCCTTCCCTCCTGCTTCACACCCACGTGGGCATTGCCTTCCCTCCTGCTTCACACCCAACACCCCCCCCTCCCCTGCCACCCTCCTCCGCCCCCCACCGCCCATTCCTCTTCGTTTTTCCATGGCCCCTTCCCACGCCACCAGGCGTTTGTGCAGTTCTGTGAGTCAGCAGCAGCAGACGTGGTGATGCTCTTCCATCGAGCTGGAGCGTGAGTGGTGCTCCTGAGGCATCACCCCTTGTGTTCTTGAAGAGTGCCCGTGAATACTCTGCCACTAGCACGTTACCAGTCACTCATTCACTTCAGTGCTAGCGAGCACGTCTTCTCCAAAGCAACCCCACTTCACCCCCTTCACTTCGTCTGCTCCATGTTTCGACCGATTTTAGTCACGCAGCCCTCCCGCTTTCCTCCCCCCCCCCCCGGTCCCCCTCATCCCTTCCTTTCTCTGCCCCTCCCTCCCCCTGTCATTCCGGCATTGCTGTGTCCCCTGCAGCCCACTCATGCTCATGCCAAGATTTCCCAACCCCCACACAACTCCCACACGCAACCCCCGCCACGCACACGCAAATGCAGCACTCGCATCTGACTTCGACTCACGACTTGTCATCGCCACCATGCTTGAGTCCCAGCTCCCCACTCCTCCCCCCTCCGACCCTTCCGTTCACCGAGCCTCTGCCCAACCTGGCACACCTGCCACTCCCGCTCACCAAGCCGCAGCCACTCCCCAAGACTCTGCCGAAGCTGGCGCTCCTGTTCACAAGGGCTCGGCTTCCCGAGTGTCTGCCGAAGCTGGAACTCCTACAGTTGCAGTTTCAGGCTCTCAGCGCTCCTGTCATGCAGGTTCGGGGGCAGTTCCCCACCAAGCCTATCCAGTAGGCTCGGGTTGCAGGGAAGATCCTGGAGGAGGAGGGCTGGGTGAAGGCGAGGAGGAGGGAGGGGATGAAATGAGGGTCGAGGAAGGTGCTGAGAAGGTTCCGTTGAAAGATCCAGGCGCAGGAGCAAGACTGGAGGCAGGCTGGGCGCATGGAAAACGATGGTCAGACCTCTCAGGTACGGCCGGACCTCTCAGGTATGGTCTGGCCGTGCAGCCATGGCAATCTGTGTGCCAATGTCAGTGCTTTTTGCCTAATGGATTCAATCAACATATTTGCGCCTACAGTCTTCTGGGCATATGCTGCTGATTCCCGTGTTTTTCCCTTACACACATAAAAGTGCTACAATTTTTATTTTATTTTTTTTGCAGTGCATTCCCACCCATGCATGACGCAAGAAGCCAGGGGCACTCCATTCTGTCCCCACTCCTCCCTGTGTGAGCACATGGCAGGGGTAAAAGGCACAGCACACAGAGCTGGTGCGGATTCAGCAGGTCCGGTGGAGGAGAGGGGAGTGGCAGTGGGCGAAGAGGAAGCAGCACATGGCCCAGGGAGCAGCAACAGCCATCACCAGGCCATGAGCAGCAGGATCAACGGCAGCAACAACATGATCAGTACCAGCAACAGCAGGCAGCCAATCAGGTTCCAGACAGCGAGGACGCCACCGAGGAGGAGCTTCCGATTGGTCGGCTGGCAGCGGCATCACGAGGCGGTAGTGGTGGCGGTGGTGGTGGTGCTGCTGCTGCTGGTGGTGGTGGAAGCAACATTGGGGGTAGTGTGGATGGGAATGGCATGGTGACTGGCGGTGCTGCTGATGTGTCTGCTAGGCGATTCATGCCCACTGAGGCATCCACCCCTGGGAGGCAAGCAGCACCGCATCAACGTGAGTCATCTCTCGTACCCGTTTCCTTCCCTCATTTCCTTCTATTCCCCCATGCCGCCCCCGCCGGTTTCTGCGCTTTAGGTTTGGAGTTTCGTGATTCACCCGCGGCACCTCACCTCTCATGCCAGTGCCTCATTGTCTTCAGCTTTCCCCTTGCGTTATACTTTCGCAAACTCTTTTCATGGATTATAGGGCAAGGTGCAGAACCACCTCTGCTTCAGAGAGATCCGGACCGTTGGATCGAAAATACGGAGGATGACGAGATGGAGGATCGGGCAGGGGGGCGTGTTGGAGGGCGTTTGGGTGAGGATATGTGCGAAGGTATTGGTGATGAAGATGAGTATGTGGATGCCACTCCACCTGAGAGGAGGATGTATGACGACGAGGATGAAACCATGGACTAACAATATTTGTTTGGACTGCAGTAACAGTTGTCGCTATGTGATGTAAATGCAATGTTTGGTTCTTTGTAAACAGTGTTTGGTAAATTAGTAGCCTCATTAATCAAGAACTGTATGCTGTCAGGTTATGGAGCTGGTTTAGGTTTAGGTTTTGCGCGCCGTTCTTGGTCATCACGTCTCACCGCTGACGGAGAAGCTCATGTCGGCCTTCCAGATGGACACTGATCCTTCCACACGTGCCCATGTCGCACAAATCATTTTCTCGATGATGGCAGTGCGACTGGCTGTGCGACAGCGCGTTACGATGAGAGTGTGATGCACATGCCTCGTCAGTCAAGCACTAGTGTGCGACACACAATACAGCAGCTCCCAAGCCAAAGCGAGGGCGCAGCAGCCCCACAACCAAAACTGCCCAGACCAGAATGCGTCGTACGCAGCTTTCAAGGCTACCAGCCAAGGGAAGATGATATCAAGGTGTATCGCAGCTTCCCTTCCATGGTTGATCGCAGTGTGCCGGACTTGGTTGCACTCAGTTCCCTAGGTCCACCACTCACTCCCACCTCCCCCAGCTTGAGCTTTGCCTCACCCATTCCCCCCCCACACCCCATCATCCCATACCTTCCCTGCGACAGACAGACCCTTCTCTTCGCTTATTCCATTCTAGGGTTTCACTCCATTCCATGGCTCCAACAGCCACTCAGGCTCTGGCTGCTTCCAACAGGTTTTGAGTGTGATTGTTGGGAACAGTGGTGCAATTGCGTCAACAGCTAAAACGAGATTTCGAGACCCACTTGGGACCGTGCGATCGCGGAGGGTCCGTTGGTGGCTGGAGACGGTTACGGGACGGGAGGGAAGCTACAAAGCTTCTGGGATGTTCTTTCAATGCATTTCCTCGCTGTTGCTAGCTGTAGAATAGAATCAGCAGGATAGTTTCCGAGAGTGTAGGAACGATGCTGGAAAGAACGGGGTCGCTGAATCCTCAGCGGCCGTCGAAGCACGAAATGCCGAACCCTTACCATGACGTGCTAACGACGCCGCGAGGGACGAGTAGGAACCGCGAGAGGGAGAGAGACGTGAGTCCGCTACTGAGACCAGACAGAGCTCGGGAGCTTAAACCTAGTCTGGAAGCCAGCTTTGAGGCCTTGCGACTGGATAAGTCGAGGGAGGGTAGCGGATTGGCTCATTCGCGAGAGAGCAACGGAATGTCCATCGCCGATCCCGGTGCGAGAGCGGAATCGCTAAGAATGGGTCACAACGGCCTCTCCCAGATGCATCCTCTCTCCGCAGGCCTCTCCGATGTGCGTTCCTAACCTCGTTCCCATCCCTGTTAGTATCCTCCTCAGTGTTTATTTCATAAAATCCTCGTCCAGCATCGCCTGTCCTTTCGATTCCCCTGACTTGCACGCTCGGAGAATTCGTATGCGGTCGCGCGCTGCTTTCGCCGACGTCGCCTAGGGTTCCTTGTCACCTGTCCGCACCCTCTCCATTCCATTACCGCCTCTGAGGCTTTCCGAACCGTCTCCGTTTTGTGCATTTGTTTCGACCCCAAAATATAATAATCCCCAGGTGATGACGGGCATGCCGTTGAGCATGGACTTGAGCATGCTCGAGAGCATCAGCTCGCTTTTGAGTCGACCCCCAAAAGTCACTTTGTTTCGATCACCCCTTGAAACACAATCCCCAGGTGATGACGGGCATGCCGTTGAGCATGGACTTCAGCATGCTTGAGAGCATCAGCTCGTTGAACCGGACGACCGGCGGGCATAAGCACATGACGCCGGGCAAGGCGCACCCCATGGCGATGTCGTCGCAGCGGCCCAGCATTCGCGTGTCGCACCTCGACGTCAGCGTAAGGAGCATTGTTACTTGGTTGGTTCTCTCGTTGAGGGTTGTGCGAGCTTGCTTGCTGCTTTGTCCCTGCCTTTGCTTGCTCTTTTCATCCCCACGCCTCCAGGCACCTTCAACCGGCTCACATGGTTGTGCGTTTCGTGTGTCTCTCCGCGTGCTTGGCTCTCGTTTTGCTCCATGTCACCTCCCGCGAGGCTCCGTGTCCTTTCCTCCCCGTTGCTCCGTGTCCTTTCCTCCCGCTTTGTTCCATTTCCTTTCCTCCCGCGTTGCTCCATTTCCTTCCCCCTGGCGTTGCTCCTCGAGGCAGGACGGGTCAATGAGCAATCTCGAACGAGCACTCGAATACGCGAAGAAAAAGGTCGACGACGAGCTTCGCGTGTTCATTAGCGACATCGCCAAGCGGCTGAACCTCCCAGGCGCCGCGCCGCCCAGAACGCCTCCCAAGTCGCCCGTCTCTCCCACTAACGCCTACCCGTCAACGTTCACGTCGTTTCTGATGTCGCCGGAATCGTCAAGATGGGAGCAAGGGGCGCTCTATCTTAAAGACCTAGCTGAGAAATGCCTTCGAATGCACGCAGATGAGTTCGGATCGGCGTGCGAGGATATCGTGCACGATCTAAACATGGCGCGGCAGCAGCTTCCCATGGGAACCCTAAAGCAGCTGCACATGAAAATGCTCTTCATTCTCACGCGCTGCACGCGTCTGCTGCAGTCGCAGAAGGAAGTGGAGGCGGAGATGCCGTACGGGGGAGTGTATGGGGGGGCGTATAGGGGCGCGGAGGTGTTAGCCACGCCGATGGTTCGTAACCGCCCGCCTGGCTTGCCGTCGACGCTGCGATCGCAAGCGTCCATGGCGGCGACTCACTTTTCTTCGTTTACTAAATCGAAGCCGCTGGAACGTCCCGCGGAGCTCCCCGCGGAGCACCCTGCGGAGCACTCCGCGGAGCAGCCGGCGGAGAAGACGCGGCTGCAGCGACAGCAGCAGCAGCCGCAACAGCCGCCGCAGCGGTCGATCATCCGGTGGGACTCGTGCCCCGCGCCGGCGGACTGGCGGGTGCGCGACCCCAAGGCGGAACAGAAGGGGGCCGCGGGGTTGGGGTTGGGCGCGCGGAAGGATGAGGGGAAGCAGCGGAGCAAGAGCAAGTCGAATATGATGGACGACTGGAGTGCCGCGGTAGCGGAGATGAGAGGTGCGCTAGACGACGGTACCTACGTTCCCGGCGGGGATTTTAACCAAGAGGATAGCGCTAGCGCGAGTGCGAGTGCGAGCGCGAGTACTGGGTTCGGATTTGGGTTCGGAACAGGTTTTGGGTCCGGGCTTGGCGCAGGGTCGAGTGCTGATGGAGGTTTGGTATCAGGCCTGGTTTCGAGCTCGTCCAGCCAACTTGCGCCTTCTGGCTCGTCGGGCCTGGGCTCGAGCTTGGGATTAAGCTCGAGCTCAGGTTCGGGGCTTGGTTCGACAAAGAAGAAGTCCGGTGGATTGATTGGCGGAGTGACGAGTTTGGTTCGGATGGTTAGTGGGAAACTCGAGGAGCTATTGGCGTCGGTTAAAGAGGAGGAAGCAGCAGAGATGGAGGAGGCGAGGAAGGATAAGGTGGAAAAGGGAAAGGAGAAGGAGAAAGGGAAGGAGAAGGAGAAGGGGAAGGAGAAGGAGAAAGGGAAGGAGAAGATGGATAAGGGCAAGGAGAAGGCAGAGAAGGGAAGGGACAAGAGTGCGGGCAGGAAGGGCAGCAGCGCGACCATGTCCGCATCGCCTATGCAGAGCAAACGGTTGTCGGATGATGGACGGGAGGAAGGGGACGTGTCTCTGGCGAGCACGAGTGGAGAACAGGGATGGCTGCAGCAGTTGTTCCAGCCGCAGCCACAGCAGCAGCAGCAGCAGTATTCCCAGCAGCAGGAGGATCAGGTGCAATCCGGGGTGCCCCAGCAGCACGTGCAGGAGCTGCAGCAACAGCAGCTGCAGCCACAGGCGCAGGCGCTGATGGATGCGCAGATGCTCGCCTTGGGCGCGGACACGCTCATGGGGGAGCAGCAAGCGCACGCGGCGGGTCCGCCCGCTCCGCCAGCTGACGCGGAGGTGCACGGGTCCACGAGCGCGCGGGGGCTGCTGTGGGGGCGGGTGGCGGAGATCCGCAAGGAGGAGGAGATTCAGCGCGCCTTCCGCAGCCAGTCCGCGCGGGACAAGTCCTCCGCCTCCAGGTCGGGCGACTCTGCCCCGTCGCTGGCGCCCGCAGAAGCGGCGGTAGCACCAGCGGGAACAGCGGTTCGGGAGATGGGCCCAGCGGCAGACGCAGAGGTAGCGGCGGCGCTAGGTACGGCGTTAGGCGCAGCGGGAGGAGCGGAGCCTGGGATTGCAGCCGCCCTTTCCACGGGAGCTGGCGCTGGGGCAACAGGGACCGGCGGAGCTTGGGGTGAGACGGGCAACACGAGTATGGCGGGCGGGAGCATGGCGGTTGCGCAGGAGGGGATTAAAGGGAGTGAGGGAGTTGAGGGGAGGAAAGGGGGGCAGGGTGGGGCGCGGCAGGGGCAGGGGGACGTGCGGCGGGAGGGGGAGTCGGAGAAGGCGCACAGACGAGGCGAAGGGCGCAGCAGCAGAGCGTGGGACGTGCGGGTGCCAAGCGGGGAGGACGAGCGGATGGAGAGCCGGAGGCACGGGGGGGCGAGAGAGCCGCCTTCCCCCTCGGGTAACCTTGCAGAGGATTTTGATGATCTGCATGAGAAAGCTATGATGAGATCCGTGTCGGGGCGAAGAGTGCAGTATAAGTACGGGTATTGGGGCAAGGGGGAGAACGAGGAGGAGGAGGGCATGGATGGGATGGTGCCGAGCGAGGGGGAGCAGGAGTGTGTGGTGATCTGTCGGATTTGTGAAGAGGAGGTGAATGTTACGCAGTTACAGGAGCACTCGCGGCTGTGCGCGCTCGCGAATCGGTGCGACTCGGCACAGTTTTCGATTGACGATCGGCTCAGGCGGCTAGCGGACGGCCTGGATCACATCTCGAACGAGCAGGTGTCGCGGCTGGGCGCCATGTCGTTCCAACGAGTGCCGTCCAACTCGTCGTCTGCTGCTGGTGGGCCGGCGTCGTCAGGGGTACCCGCAGGGCTGGATTCGCATTCCCAGCAGGTGGGTTCGATGGGGGTAGGGGGAGGTGCAGGGGCGAAGCAGGGCGGTGGCAGGTTTTTGTCTCCCTTGGGCAGCAGTATGGTGTCTCATGCAGACATGCGCGAAGGGGACGAAGGCGGCGCAGGAGAAGGAGAAGGAGGAGGAGAAGGGGAGGGGGCGAATGGGTACAGCGAGGAGCAGCAGATGCGCGAGCAAGATGCAGCGGAGCACTGCAGCAGAGAAAACGGGTCGTTGCACCCAGGCGTTCCGATAAGCCCCACAGAGGATCACCCAGAGCATCAAGATCACCCAGAGCACCCCGAGCATGCAGAGCATCAAGGCGCAGGGGGCAGCAGCAGCAGCAACGTGTCCAACTGGTCGTACGTGAGCCACCACCTGCAGCAGCAGCAGCAGCAGCACAAGCTGCAGCAGCAGCAGCAGCTGCAGGCAGCAGGCGAGGAGGGCTCCCAGTACGAGCCTTCCATGAGCGCAGTGACGAGCATGAGCGGCGCCACCTCCACCAGCGGGTTCCTATCCGCGGGGACCGCGTCCCCCATGCCCACGTCACCTGCAGGGTCGGCGGGCACGAGAGGGGACGGCCATGGGGGGTATGGGAGCCCCGGATCGTCGCTGCTGAAGAGCGCTCTGGCGGGAGGCGGGAGGGAGCTGATGGAGGAGCACATCCACATGGTGGCTCAAGAGGAGATCGCCCTGGTGAGTCGTGGGCTGGCTTGATCGATAGTCATGGGCTGGCTTGATCGATAGTCATGGCAAATCTAAGAGTTCAAAACTCTTTGAGCACGGCAGGTGGGAAGGGGCAGGTGGGTGGTCTTGTGCTCTGTGCCTTCGCGCCTGTCACTCAATGGCTTCTTTCTTCCTTCCCCTCCCCCTCCCCTGCCATCAGATGGACGACTTGGCGGACATGAGTGGAATTGAATTGCTGTCTTGTGCTCTTGTGCCTGTGCACCTGTCCCCCCGTGGCTTCTTTTCCCCCAACCCCCCCTCAGATGGACGACCTGGCGGACATAGCACAGGATGTGGCGGACGTGTCACTGGAGGACGAGAAGCCCGAGGAGCTGCTGATGACGGACATGAGGGACCTCACGGACCTGCTGCGCACCAACGACGCGCGCTTCCTCACCATTGATGTGTTCGGCCGCCGCATCACCAAGCTGCTGCAGTGAGTGTGATTGCTTGCTTGATTGCTTGCTTTATGGCGTTTGTGTCAGCTCCTGATTCCTCACTCCCCTTGTTTCACTTCTGTTGCTTCTGTTGCCCCTCCGCCGTTACCTCACTCACCCCCCATCGCCTCACTCCCATCTCTTCATTCCCGTTTTCCCCTGCACTGCTCCCCTGGGCCCAGGGAGAAGCACTACCGTCTGAGAGGCATCCTGGACCACCGAATGGGCTCGGCAGCAAGTCGCCTCAAGTTTTTGTCATCCCTCCCGATTCCCCCCCTCCGCACCTTCCCCCGCCCCTTTTGCCAGGGAGAAGTACTACCGTCTCAGGGACATCCTGGATCACCAGATGGGTGCGGCAGCTGGCAGTGCGCTGCGGGGCTATGGGGGCACGGAGGGGGGCGAGGCGATGCAATACGCGGACGAGGAGGGAGAGGACGTCTTGAACCTCTCTCGCAGCGCCCGCAGCACCCCGCCCAACGCCTCTATGGGCGGCTGTAGCAGCATCGGTGGCGGCATTGGTGGTTTTGCTGGTGGTGCTGGTGGCCCTGGTGGTGGTGGTGGTGGCGGCGGCGGTGGTGGTGTGGCAGCGTCGTCGTCGTCGGCTTCGGCGGCAGGGAGGGATCGCACGACGATAGACGACTTTGAGCTGATCAAGCCCATCAGCAAGGGCGCGTATGGGCGTGTCTTCCTGGCCAAGAAGAAGACCACGGGGGACCTCTTTGCCATCAAGGTGCGTGCGTGGGTGGGCGGGTGCTGGGTGCATGGCTGGGTGGACGGCTGGGTGCATGGCTGGGTGGACGGCTGGGTGCATGGCTGGGTGGACGGCTGGGTGCATGGATGGGTGGAGGGCTGGGTGCATGGCTGGGTGGACGGCTGGGTGCATGGCTGGGTGGACGGCTGGGTGCATGGCTGGGTGTTGGCCGTCTGGCACCACTGTCCATGTGTCAGCTGGCGAGGCAGGGAGTGGACAGAGGGGATGAAGAGATAAGGGGTTCCCTAGACGCGCGTTGAATCTTAAGTTCTGTTTGCACTCCTCGTTTGAATCGTTCGTGGCAGGTGCTGCGCAAGGCGGACATGGTGCGCAAGAACGCGGTGGAGAGTGTGCAGGCGGAGAGAAACATCCTCGCCTCCGTGCGCAGCCCCTTCGTGGTACGCATTCTTTCATGGCAGCCCCTTCGTGGTACGCATTCTTTCATGGCAGCCCCTTCGTGGTACGCATTCTTTCATGGCAGCCCCTTCGTGGTACGCATTCTTTCATGGCAGCCCCTTCGTGGTACGCACTCTTTCATGGCAGCCCCTTCGTGGTATGCATTCTTTCATGGCAGCCCCTTTGTGGTACGCATTCTTTCATGGCAGCCCCTTCGTGGTACGCATTCTTTCATGGCAGCCCCTTCGTGGTACGCATTCTTTCATGGCAGCCCCTTCGTGGTACGCATTCTTTCATGGCAGCCCCTTTGTGGTACGCACGCATGCCTTGCATGGCAGCCCCTTCGTGGTACGCACGCATGCCTTGCATGGCAGCCCCTTCGTGGTACGCACGCATGCCTTGCATGGCAGCCCCTTCGTGGTACGCACGCATGCCTTGCATGGCAGCCCCTTCGTGTTTCTACTCGTTCACTTGCCAGGAAAATCTTTACCTGGTCATGGAGACCTCGCTGCATTTCCCCCCTGCTTCTCACTCACTCACTCACTCACTCATCCTCTCTCTCACTCCTGCCCCCAGGTGCGGTGCTTCTACTCGTTCACGTGCCGCGAGAATCTCTATCTGGTGATGGAGTATCTAAACGGGGGCGACCTCTTCTCGCTGCTGCAGAACCTCGGCTGCCTCGAGGAACCCATGGCCAGGGCCTACATTGCTGAACTCGTATGTGCCCTGCCCTGCCCTGCCCTGCCCTGCCCCGCCCCGCCCCACCCCGCCCCGCCCCGCCCCGCCCCGCCCCGCCCCGCCCCGCCCTGCCCCGCCCTGCCCTGCCCTGCCCTGCCCTGCCCTGCCCTGCCCTGCCCTGCCCTGCCCTGCCCTGCCCTGCTCTGCCCTGTCCTGCCTGGTATGCGTGGTTTGGCTCCCTTTTGGGGCGTCCCACTGCCCCCTGACCCCACATGCCACGCCATTCCATCCCTCACACCATGCCCTGTCTCTCTCCCTCATCCCACCACCACTTCCGCCACCAGGTGTTGGCGTTGGAGCATCTGCATGCGAGTGGCATCATCCACCGGGACCTCAAGCCCGACAACCTCCTCATTGCATACGATGGCCACATCAAGGTGAGCATGCCGCCATGCCAATGCCACCCATGCCTGCTGCTCGCTGATCATTCTGCCCCCGTCAGCACGTGCCGTCCCTTCTCTCAACCTCCATTCTTTGGTGCACGAGCACTGGTTCTTTCCCATCCTCGTCCCATTCATCCCTATCCCCCTGTTGCCCACCTCTTCCCCTCTTCTCCGCACCTTCTTTCTTCCACAGTTAACGGACTTTGGGCTTTCGCAGATGGGTCTATTCAACAGCACCGGTGACTTTGCCATCGGCCCTCTCACCACCACAGGACCCTCCGAGCCCCCCTCCCCCAACGTCACCGCCGCTGCCGCCGCCGCAGCTGCCTCTGCCTCTGCCTCCGCTGCTGCAGCCGCAGCTGCCCTCTCTGCCGCCTCCCACCCCCCAGGCGCCGTCGGCTTCCCCAAATCCGGTTCGGTAGATTCCGGCGCGTCTGTCTCTGCTTCCATCCCCACGTCGCCTCTCTGGGCGGCGGACCGGGCGGCAGACTTCCCGCCTGCGCCGTCCGGCGCGTCGTCCCGCCCGTCGTCCTCTTCCGGCCGCACGTCTCCGTTTTCGGGGATTCCGGGCGGCGCGGGGATGGTGGGCGGCGGAGGGGCGGGGAGTGTGGGAGGAGGGGGAGGTGGGGGGGGAATGGGGGGAGGATCGGCATCGCCAGCGTGGAAGGCTGAGGTGGAGTCGTTACAGGGTGCTGGGCGGAGTGTGTCGGCGGATGTGGAGAAGAAGAAGGAGCAGACGGTGGGCACGCCGGACTATCTCGCTCCCGAGATTCTGCTCGGCACGGGCCATGGTGGGTGGGGATGGGTTGTGGTGGGTTGGGATGGGTTTTGGTGGGTGGGGATGTGGGTATGAGGCATCACGGGAATGGGGTGGCTTTATGAGGTTATATGGGTTTAAGGGGTCATAGTGAGTCAGTGGGGACTTAACACAGTGACGAGCTGTTTGCAAACACACACACGCCTTGCATTCTGTCCCTCCCCTTCCTGCTGCACTGCTCATCTCTAACCCTCTCTTCCGCACCCTTGCTCGATCCACCTCCCTCCCCGGGTCATCCATGGTGCAGGCGCCACAGCGGATTGGTGGGCGGTGGGAGTGATGCTCTTTGAGCTGCTCTGCGGTGTGCCCCCCTTCAACGCTCCCTCCCCTGAGGTGAGTAACCTCCCTTGCAAGAGGGTGGTGGCCTGCTGCTTGTGTGAGCTCTTTGTTTTGACGGGAACTCCTGCTCCTGCGCACTCAGATACACACATACACACATACACACATACACACATACACACATACTCACATACACACACACACACACACACACACACACACACACATACACACATACACACATACACACATACACACATACACACATACACACATACTCACATACACACATACACACATACACACATACTCACATACACACATACACACATACACACATACACACATACTCACATACACACATACACACATACACACATACACACATACTCACATACACACATACACACATACACACATACACACATACACACATACACACATACACACATACACACATACAGACATTCTCACATACACACATACACACATACACACATACTCACATACACACATACACACATACACACATACACACATACTCACATACACACATACACACATACACACATACACACATACACACATACTCACATACACACATACACACATACTCACATACACACATACACACATACACACATACACACATACTCACATACACACATACACACATACACACATACACACATACACACATACACACATACACACATACACACATACACACATACTCACATACTCACATACACACATACACACATACACACATACACACATACACACATACAGACATTCTCACATACACACATACACACATACACACATACACACATACTCACATACACACATACTCACATACACACATACACACATACACACATACACACATACACACATACACACATACACACATACTCACATACACACATACACACATACACACATACACACATACACACATACACACATACACACATACACACATACACACATACACACATACTCACATACACACATACACACATACACACATACTCACATACACACATACACACATACACACATACACACATACACACATACACACATACACACATACACACATACACACATACACACATACTCACATACACACATACACACATACACACATACACACATACACACATACACACATACTCACATACACACATACACACATACACACATACACACATACACACATACACACATACACACATACTCACATACACGCACACACACATACTCGTGCTCATGGTCTCTCTCTAACCATCCGTCCCGGCTCTACTACTCATGCAGATCATATTTGACAACATTCTGAACCGGGACATCCCATGGCCGGAGGTGCCCGAGGAGATGTCCTACCAGGCCATGGACCTCATTGATAAGTACGTGCGCTTGCCCTCTAGTGCGTGTATAAGGATACACGCACACATGCACACACACACACAAACTCCTTGTTCGCCCATGCTTCTTGTTCACCCATGCTTCTTGTTCACCCATGCTTCTTGTTCACCCATGCTTCTTGTTCGCCCATGCTTCTTGTTCACCCATGCTTCTTGTTCGCCCATGCTTCTTGTTCGCCCATGCTTCTTGTTCGCCCATGCTTCTTGTTCGCCCATGCTTCTTGTTCGCCCATGCTTCTTGTTCGCCCATGCTTCTTGTTCGCCCATACTTCTTGTTCGCGGCCCATGCTTCTTGTTCGCGGCCCATGCTTCTTGTTCGCCCATGCTTCTTGTTCGCCCATGCTTCTTGTTCGCCCATGCTTCTTGTTCGCCCATGCTTCTTGTTCGCCCATGCTTCTTGTTCGCCCATGCTTCTTGTTCGCCCATGCTTCTTGTTCGCCCATGCTTCTTGTTCGCCCATGCTTCTTGTTCGCCCATGCTTCTTGTTCGCCCATGCTTCTTGTTCGCCCATGCTTCTTGTTCGCCCATGCTTCTTGTTCGCCCATGCTTCTTGTTCGCCCATGCTTCTTGTTCGCCCATGCTTCTTGTTCGCGGCCCATGCTTCTTGTTCGCCCATGCTTCTTGTTCGCCCATGCTTCTTGTTCGCCCATGCTTCTTGTTCGCCCATGCTTCTTGTTCGCCCATGCTTCTTGTTCGCCCATGCTTCTTGTTCGCCCATGCTTCTTGTTCGCCCATGCTTCTTGTTCGCCCATGCTTCTTGTTCGCCCATGCTTCTCGTTCGCCCATGCTTCTTGTTCGCCCATGCTTCTTGTTCGCCCATGCTTCTTGTTCGCCCATGCTTCTTGTTCGCCCATGCTTCTTGTTCGCCCATGCTTCTTGTTCGCCCATGCTTCTTGTTCGCCCATGCTTCTTGTTCGCCCATGCTTCTTGTTCGCGGCCCATGCTTCTTGTTCGCGGCCCATGCTTCTTGTTCGCCCATGCTTCTTGTTCGCCCATGCTTCTTGTTCGCCCATGCTTCTTGTTCGCCCATGCTTCTTGTTCGCCCATGCTTCTTGTTCGCCCATGCTTCTTGTTCACCCATGCTTCTTGTTCGCCCATGCTTCTTGTTCGCCCATGCTTCTTGTTCGCCCATGCTTCTTGTTCGCCCATGCTTCTTGTTCGCCCATGCTTCTTGTTCGCCCATGCTTCTTGTTCGCGGCCCATGCTTCTTGTTCGCCCATGCTTCTTGTTCGCCCATGCTTCTTGTTCGCCCATGCTTCTTGTCGCCATGCTTCTTGTTCGCCCACGCTTCTTGTTCGCCCATGCTTCTTGTTCGCCCATGCTTCTTGTTCGCCCATGCTTCTCGTTCGCCCATGCTTCTTGTTCGCCCATGCTTCTTGTTCGCCCATGCTTCTTGTTCGCCCATGCTTCTTGTTCGCCCATGCTTCTTGTTCGCCCATGCTTCTTGTTCGCCCATGCTTCTTGTTCGCCCATGCTTCTTGTTCGCCCATGCTTCTTGTTCGCCCATGCTTCTTGTTCGCCCATGCTTCTTGTTCGCCCATGCTTCTTGTTCGCCCATGCTTCTTGTTCGCCCATGCTTCTTGTTCGCCCATGCTTCTTGTTCGCCCATGCTTCTTGTTCGCCCATGCTTCTTGTTCGCCCATGCTTCTTGTTCGCCCATGCTTCTTGTTCGCGGCCCATGCTTCTTGTTCGCCCATGCTTCTTGTTCGCCCATGCTTCTTGTTCGCGGCCCATGCTTCTTGTTCGCGGCCCATGCTTCTTGTTCGCCCATGCTTCTTGTTCGCCCATGCTTCTTGTTCGCCCATGCTTCTTGTTCGCCCATGCTTCTTGTTCGCCCATGCTTCTTGTTCGCCCATGCTTCTTGTTCGCCCATGCTTCTTGTTCGCCCATGCTTCTTGTTCGCCCATGCTTCTTGTTCGCCCATGCTTCTTGTTCGCCCATGCTTGTTCGCCCATGCTTCTTGTTCGCCCATGCTTCTTGTTCGCGGCCCATGCTTCTTGTTCGCCCATGCTTCTTGTTCGCCCATGCTTCTTGTTCGCCCATGCTTCTTGTTCGCCCATGCTTCTTGTTCGCCCATGCTTCTTGTTCGCCCACGCTTCTTGTTCGCCCATGCTTCTTGTTCGCCCATGCTTCTTGTTCGCCCATGCTTCTCGTTCGCCCATGCTTCTTGTTCGCCCATGCTTCTTGTTCGCCCATGCTTCTTGTTCGCCCATGCTTCTTGTTCGCCCATGCTTCTTGTTCGCCCATGCTTCTTGTTCGCCCATGCTTCTTGTTCGCCCATGCTTCTTGTTCGCCCATGCTTCTTGTTCGCCCATGCTTCTTGTTCGCCCATGCTTCTTGTTCGCCCATGCTTCTTGTTCGCCCATGCTTCTTGTTCGCCCATGCTTCTTGTTCGCCCATGCTTCTTGTTCGCCCATGCTTCTTGTTCGCCCATGCTTCTTGTTCGCCCATGCTTCTTGTTCGCCCATGCTTCTTGTTCGCTCATGCTTCTTGTTCGCCCATGCTTCTTGTTCGCCCATGCTTCTTGTTCGCCCATGCTTCTTGTTCGCCCATGCTTCTTGTTCGCCCATGCTTCTTGTTCGCCCATGCTTCTTGTTCGCCCATGCTTCTTGTTCGCCCATGCTTCTCGTTCGCCCATGCTTCTCGTTCGCCCATGCTTCTCGTTCGCCCATGCTTCTCGTTCGCCCATGCTTCTCGTTCGCCCATGCTTCTCGTTCGCCCATGCTTCTCGTTCGCCCATGCTTCTCGTTCGCCCATGCTTCTCGTTCGCCCATGCTTCTCGTTCGCCCATGCTTCTCGTTCGCCCATGCTTCTCGTTCGCCCATGCTTCTCGTTCGCCCATGCTTCTCGTTCGCCCATGCTTCTTGTTCGCCCATGCTTCTTGTTCGCCCATGCTTCTTGTTCGCCCATGCTTCTTGTTCGCCCATGCTTCTTGTTCGCCCATGCTTCTTGTTCGCCCATGCTTCTTGTTCGCCCATGCTTCTTGTTCGCCCATGCTTCTTGTTCGCCCATGCTTCTTGTTCGCCCATGCTTCTTGTTTGCCCATGCTTCTTGTTCGCCCATGCTTCTTGTTCGCGGCCCATGCTTCTTGTTCGCCCATGCTTCTTGTTCGCCCATGCTTCTTGTTCGCCCATGCTTCTTGTTCGCCCATGCTTCTTGTTCGCCCACGCTTCTTGTTCGCCCATGCTTCTTGTTCGCCCATGCTTCTTGTTCGCCCATGCTTCTCGTTCGCCCATGCTTCTTGTTCGCCCATGCTTCTTGTTCGCCCATGCTTCTTGTTCGCCCATGCTTCTTGTTCGCCCATGCTTCTTGTTCGCCCATGCTTCTTGTTCGCCCATGCTTCTTGTTCGCCCATGCTTCTTGTTCGCCCATGCTTCTTGTTCGCCCATGCTTCTTGTTCGCCCATGCTTCTTGTTCGCCCATGCTTCTTGTTCGCCCATGCTTCTTGTTCGCCCATGCTTCTTGTTCGCCCATGCTTCTTGTTCGCCCATGCTTCTTGTTCGCCCATGCTTCTTGTTCGCCCATGCTTCTTGTTCGCCCATGCTTCTTGTTCGCCCATGCTTCTTGTTCGCGGCCCATGCTTCTTGTTCGCCCATGCTTCTTGTTCGCCCATGCTTCTTGTTCGCGGCCCATGCTTCTTGTTCGCGGCCCATGCTTCTTGTTCGCCCATGCTTCTTGTTCGCCCATGCTTCTTGTTCGCCCATGCTTCTTGTTCGCCCATGCTTCTTGTTCGCCCATGCTTCTTGTTCGCCCATGCTTCTTGTTCGCCCATGCTTCTTGTTCGCCCATGCTTCTTGTTCGCCCATGCTTCTTGTTCGCCCATGCTTCTTGTTCGCCCATGCTTCTTGTTCGCCCATGCTTCTTGTTCGCGGCCATGCTTCTTGTTCGCCCATGCTTCTTGTTCGCCCATGCTTCTTGTTCGCCCATGCTTCTTGTTCGCCCATGCTTCTTGTTCGCCCATGCTTCTTGTTCGCCCACTGCTTCTTGTTCGCCCATGCTTCTTGTTCGCCCATGCTTCTTGTTCGCCCATGCTTCTTGTTCGCCCATGCTTCTTGTTCGCCCATGCTTCTTGTTCGCCCATGCTTCTTGTTCGCCCATGCTTCTTGTTCGCCCATGCTTCTTGTTCGCCCATGCTTCTTGTTCGCCCATGCTTCTTGTTCGCCCATGCTTCTTGTTCGCCCATGCTTCTTGTTCGCCCATGCTTCTTGTTCGCCCATGCTTCTTGTTCGCCCATGCTTCTTGTTCGCCCATGCTTCTTGTTCGCCCATGCTTCTTGTTCGCCCATGCTTCTTGTTCGCCCATGCTTCTTGTTCGCCCATGCTTCTTGTTCGCCCATGCTTCTTGTTCGCCCATGCTTCTTGTTCGCCCATGCTTCTTGTTCGCCCATGCTTCTTGTTCGCCCATGCTTCTTGTTCGCCCATGCTTCTTGTTCGCCCATGCTTCTTGTTCGCCCATGCTTCTTGTTCGCCCATGCTTCTTGTTCGCCCATGCTTCTTGTTCGCCCATGCTTCTTGTTCGCCCATGCTTCTTGTTCGCCCATGCTTCTTGTTCGCCCATGCTTCTTGTTCGCCCATGCTTCTTGTTCGCCCATGCTTCTTGTTCGCCCATGCTTCTTGTTCGCCCATGCTTCTTGTTCGCCCATGCTTCTTGTTCGCCCATGCTTCTTGTTCGCCCATGCTTCTTGTTCGCCCATGCTTCTTGTTCGCCCATGCTTCTTGTTCGCCCATGCTTCTTGTTCGCCCATGCTTCTTGTTCGCCCATGCTTCTTGTTCGCCCATGCTTCTTGTTCGCCCATGCTTCTTGTTCGCGGCCCATGCTTCTTGTTCGCGGCCCATGCTTCTTGTTCGCCCATGCTTCTTGTTCGCCCATGCTTCTTGTTCGCCCATGCTTCTTGTTCGCCCATGCTTCTTGTTCGCCCATGCTTCTTGTTCGCCCATGCTTCTTGTTCGCCCATGCTTCTTGTTCGCCCATGCTTCTTGTTCGCCCATGCTTCTTGTTCGCCCATGCTTCTTGTTCGCCCATGCTTCTTGTTCGCCCATGCTTCTTGTTCGCCCATGCTTCTTGTTCGCCCATGCTTCTTGTTCGCCCATGCTTCTTGTTCGCGGCCCATGCTTCTTGTTCGCGGCCCATGCTTCTTGTTCGCCCATGCTTCTTGTTCGCCCATGCTTCTTGTTCGCCCATGCTTCTTGTTCGCCCATGCTTCTTGTTCGCCCATGCTTCTTGTTCGCCCATGCTTCTCGTTCGCCCATGCTTCTGGTTCGCCCATGCTTCTGGTTCGCCCATGCTTCTTGTTCGCCCATGCTTCTTGTTCGCCCATGCTTCTTGTTCACCCATGCTTCTTGTTCGCCCATGCTTCTTGTTCGCCCATGCTTCTTGTTCGCCCATGCTTCTTGTTCGCCCATGCTTCTTGTTCGCCCATGCTTCTTGTTCGCTCATGCTTCTTGTTCGCCCATGCTTCTTGTTCGCCCATGCTTCTTGTTCGCCCATGCTTCTTGTTCGCCCATGCTTCTTGTTCGCCCATGCTTCTTGTTCGCCCATGCTTCTTGTTCGCCCATGCTTCTTGTTCGCCCATGCTTCTCGTTCGCCCATGCTTCTCGTTCGCCCATGCTTCTCGTTCGCCCATGCTTCTCGTTCGCCCATGCTTCTCGTTCGCCCATGCTTCTCGTTCGCCCATGCTTCTCGTTCGCCCATGCTTCTCGTTCGCCCATGCTTCTCGTTCGCCCATGCTTCTCGTTCGCCCATGCTTCTCGTTCGCCCATGCTTCTCGTTCGCCCATGCTTCGCTCATGCTTCTCGTTCGCCCATGCTTCTCGTTCGCCCATGCTTCTCGTTCGCCCATGCTTCTCGTTCGCCCATGCTTCTCGTTCGCCCATGCTTCTCGTTCGCCCATGCTTCTCGTTCGCCCATGCTTCTCGTTCGCCCATGCTTCTCGTTCGCCCATGCTTCTTGTTCGCCCATGCTTCTTGTTCACCCATGCTTCTTGTTCACCCATGCTTCTTGTTCACCCATGCTTCTTGTTGCACAGCAGTGGACACAACGAGCAACATGGCTAGTCTGTTTTGAGGCTGCGTGTATGCCATTCGTCCCTCTCACTCTCTCTTCCTCTCATCCACCAACTCCACGCCCCCGCTGTCTCCACCCGCCTGCCATCAGGCTGCTGCATCCGGAACCGTCGTTGCGGCTAGGAGTGAGGGGAGCAGAGGAGGTGAAGGCACACCCTTTTTTTGACGGCATCCGCTGGGAGACCCTCGCGCAGGAGCAGGTGGGGCTGGGGTTGCTTGGATGAGTTCGTGTGTGCGTTTTGCTGTGTGCCATGTGTCGTGTGCCATGTGCCATATGCCATGTGCCAGGGGCCGCATGCTATGCGCCTTCTCCCCTCTCGGTTCGTTCCTTGCTGCAAGCAGCGTTTGTGCAGCCCCCATGCCCTATCCCCCACCCATCCTCGCCCCGCGCTCCTCTCCCCTCTCCCCTCGCCCCTCGCCCCTCGCCCCTCGCCCCTCGCCCCTCGCCCCTCGCCCCTCGCCCCTCGCCCCCACTCATCCTCCAGGCGGTGTTTGTGCCGAGCCCAGACAACCCACACGACACGGGGTACTTTTTGACGCGAGGGTGGCAGCAGGAGCCGGGCGGCATGGACGGGGGGAACATGGCGATGGGCATGGGCGAGAGCGAGAGCGCCAGCAGCGACGCCTGCAGCAGCACGTCTGCTGATGACTTTTACCAGGGCGAGCAGGTGAGGGCGGTGGGCAGGTGAGGGCGGTGGGCAGGTGAGGGCGGTGGGCAGGTGAGGGCTTTTGGGAGCAGGTTAGGGAAGGCACGGGGGAAAGCATTGACGCCTGCAGCACATCGGCTGATGAATTTTATGAGGGCGAGCAGGAGGGCGGTGATTGGAAGTAGGTGAGAGCATGAGGGGGGGAAGCAGCGACGCCTGCAGCAGCACATCGGCAGATGACTTTTACGAGGGCGAACAGGTGAGGCAGGCAGGAAGGGGAGTAGGTGAGGGCGAGCAGGTGGGCGGCAATTGCGAGCACGTGAGGGTAGTGACTGGGAGAGAATGTGAGAGGGGAAATCGTTAGTGCCTGCAGCAGCACGTCTGCCAGTGGCTTTTACCAGGGCGTGCAGGTGAGGGCAGGCAGGAGGGCGAGCAGATGAGGGCGAGCAGATGAGGGCGAGAGTGAAAACGATAGGAGGGATGAGGCTGGGTGTGGGAGGGGGAAGTTGCTTGGTTTTTAATCACGGGGTCGGGAGGAGAGTGGAGTGAACGGGGGATTCACCTGTGTGCCTGTGCCTTTGCCTGCTTTCTGCTGCGCTCTGTGTGTGTGTCTGTTGCGCTGCGTGGTGGTGGGTGGCAGGGGGACGAGCCCGGGGACATGAGGAACTTTTCAGACAATGTCGCCGCTGCCTTCACCAACTTCTCCTTCAAGGTCCGTGCTCATGCTCCTGCTGCTGATGCTGATGCTGTCAATCCTCAGATCCTACGGCTCAGGATGATGCTCATGTTGATGCTGATCCTCCAGCTGCTGCTGCCTGCTTGTGATAGCATGTGCACCCGTGTGAGCTGCACTCTTGCAAGTGTTGAGCCATGCAGTGAGGTGTCTTTTCACCCCAGCCCTCTCTCACAGCCCTCCTTTCTTTACCAATGCTGAATCTGTTTTTTGAGAATTCTCAAAAAACAGATTCAGCCTCTCTCACAGCCTTCCTCTTTTTACACATGCACGCAGGTCTCGCTTCCCGCCCACCCCTCCCCTTCCTCCCCGCACTCACCCCCTCTCCCTTCGAAGCCCTGGTTCATAACATCTCCCAACTCGCTGGGATCAAACACAGCGAGGTTCTCGGCCGATGTTTGAGGCGCCTAAATTATTGTCTCATTCTCCTCCCGTACCCCTTCCTCCCTTATTCTCCATACTCATTTCTTCTCCCGCTTGTACCCTGTTTCAGAACCTCTCCCAATTGGCTGAGATCAACTATGAGTTCCTAGGCCGGCAAAAGAGCCCTCCCAGCCATCTCAAGTGACACATCCTTTTACTGAAGCACTTTTTAAAGAAGCAGCCTCTACAGGGGCAGCAGAGCAGGCACCAGCACCCACACCAGCGCAACCCATGGCAGCAGCAGCACGTGGTTTTGACAAGCACACTGCACTGCAAACTGCACCCTGTTATGTTGCTCCCACGGGGTCTGGGGAATTCATTCCACGCAGCTTCCATGGTGCTTCCATGCAGCTTGTCCATCCAGCACCACTCCCACAGGGTGTTTTACTAGAGGCAGTAAGCAGCTGTCTGAGCTCTCCTTTTGGCACCACCACTCATGTGGGCCGACCAGAGTGTGTGCCGGCATGTATATGTGGTTGTGCGTGCACGTCTGTGCGCTTTTTGTTCTTGTCCCCCTGATTGATTTCCACTGCTTTTGGTCCAGCTGTAGCTGACTGCTGGTGCTGAACCGGAGAGGGAGGGACAGAGAGCATATAAGATAGGTGGAGAGGAATACATACGGTGCTGAGTGCGGTAGAGTTGGGTTTGCAGCGGAGATTGGGGAGAAGGGCAGTAGAGGTGAGGAGTGAAAGGGGCAGGAGACAAAGCTTCATGTGCCGGCCTGAGGCACTGCAGCTTTCAGCAGCACAGATCAATTTATGCAGGCCCATATCGGAAGCTTCTGCTGCCGGTGTGCCACACAAGGCTGTGTTGAGCATTGTGGTTTTCTTTTTGCCTTGTTGGCATCCTTTTTTTATCTCTCCAATAATCTGATACGGTCGCTGAAGGCCTTATGCAGCAGTCTTGGGCGAGCCATGTGTGGTGCAGTGCATCCGTCAAGTTAGCTATTCTCGCCAATGCTTGAAGCTTTTTTATTATTTTGATTTAGCTGTGGGGCTGTTTCTGCAATATCGAGTTTTCTCTGCTTCTGGTGCTCGTGTGTAACTATTTGTGGACTACGGATGTCACTAAATAATTGTTTGGCGGAAATATTTGTGACACAGAGCCAATCCAAAGCCTGGTGCCAACATTTGAGGAGTCTGGTGCTATCTAAAGACCAGGAGGATGGAAAGCTCTGAATTGCCGCCACCACTCAACGCGCCTCTGCCTTCGGTACGGATGCGTTGCTAGGGAGAGTATGACACTTGTTGTTAGGTCTAGCGCCGGAATATTACGAGGCGGGTTTTGTTCTATTACAATCAGTTTTTTTCCGTCCTTTTTGTCTCTGAATCTCGAAGTCGCCCTTCTTTATTTCTGTAAGAAAATAATCTGAATCAGCGTGGGGCTTCTCCATCAGAACCATGAAGCGGCGCGGGGCTGGTCTCATCCTCGATCTCCCCGACGAGGTGCTGACGTCTATCGTACGTCAGCTCGAAAATCCCGCCGATCGACGAAACGTCGCTCTCGCATGTTCGCGATTTCGCGAACTCGAAAATTGTTCTCGCCGCAACCTGACCTACAAGGCCCGCCAGGGGACTCCCCATGCCCAGATTCTCGAATCGCTGCTTCGACGATGCTCGGCTCTCGAGGATCTCTCCGTGATCAACGATCGAGGGAAATCGACGGTTGGCGATGAGCTGCTGCTGGCCGTCGGATCGAGATGCTCGCAGCTGGAGCGGCTGAGCCTCGTGGGATGCGAGGGGGTGACGGATGATGGATGGAGGACGTTCAGTGCACAGTGCCGGTGAGTGCTCGGATTCATGTTGCTAGTTTTTGTTTAATATCTGTTTAAGATCGCCGTGGTTTCTGTTTCCACTCATCACAATTTTCGACCATTGTGTGCCACACACCTATTCGCCTTTTTGAGAATTCTTTAAAAAAAAACCTGCAACACCTCTTCACCTTTCTCCACGTCATCTTTCCTCTGTGACCTCACCCCCCCCTCGCTCTCTCCCCCCTTTCGCCTTCTTCCCCCTTCCCCCTCCCACCTTTCCCCCCTCCCCCAACCCTACCAGCGCGCTCAAGGCGCTCGAGCTCCGCCTTGTTTCCGCCAAAGCAGTCTGCCCTCCCCTCTCCGCCTTCCCCTCGCTGCTCTCACTCACACTTTACCGCCTAGACGGCCTTCCAGTGCAGATCTCTTCCCTCTCGCTCTGCTCCTCCCTCACCTCCCTCTCCCTCTGGCACCTTACCGACCCGCTTCTCTCCTCCCTCTCCGCCTCCTCCCCCTCTCTCCCCGCCCTCCAATCCTTCACCCTCACATCAGCATCAGTCAGAACTTCCCTCGGATCCCTCGGTGCTTTCCCCCTCCTCTCCTCCCTCGCTCTCTGCTCATGCTCGCAAATCGGCCCCCCAGAAATGCACTCTCTCTCGCGCTCCCTCCACACGCTCACCCACCTGACCATACAAGACTGTCCCATGATTCCCTCCTCTGCGCTGGCCGCTTTAACCGCTGCTAATTCATCTCTCGCGTCTCTCTCCCTCCGGGGCAGCTTGCGTCTCTTCATGCCTGGAGGGGTCGAAACGGCCCATAAATCCGTCGCCGGCGCTTTAGAATCGCTGACGCTTAGCGGTGTGCCGATGCTGAGCCGGGGCATGCTTGAGGGGTGTACGCAATTGAAGGCGCTGCGGCTGGAATATGGAAAAGGGTCCGTGCTTGATGTTGCTGGTATGCTGAGTGGAGGGAGGCTTCAATCACTTCAGCGTTCGGTGATTTATATTTTTGATATGTTTTTTGGAGGGGGGGGTTGGGAACGGCGTGGAAGAGAAGGGAGGGGAGAAAGTGTTGGAGAGGGGGCGGGTGGGGAAGGAGGAGCAGATGGAGGAGGAAGGGAAGAGGCAGCTGTTGTACCTCTGGAGTCGCTCTGCCTCCACTGCTTTGCCTTTGCCCCGGATGCTCGAGTCTCCCTAATCTCCACCACCCCTTCGCCTCCCCCGTCACTCATCGCATTTAAGCAATTGAGGCGGCTGTCCCTGCACGCGTGCACGGGGCTCGAAGAGAGTGATTTTCATGCGATCGAGGTGTATTTTGAGGCGCCTCAAAATGCACGGGGCTCGAAGAGAGTGATTTTCAGGCGATCTTGCAGTCCTGTCCTCGTTCAGAGCATCTCCTTGTGGACTATAACGACGCGTTCTCCAACCGGGTGATTTCAGAGAGTAGACTGGAAAACCTCACGCGTTTCAGTGTGGTAGCATGTCCCAAGGTGACTGCGGAGAGTATTGGGGGTATTCTTAGGAGTTTCCCGAAGTTACGGTGGCTGAAGGTGGAGAAGGGGAAAGTGACAGCAAGAACTAGAAGGGTGTTCCTGAGGGCTGGTGTGATTATACGAGGAGTGTGACTATGAGAGGATTTGAGGCGCCGCAGAAACGATTAAGAGTCCCTGAGAGATCGTATCAAATGAAAAAGAGTCCCTTGCTGCCGTCACCATTACCGTATGAATCACGTGAACACACTTGGACCGGTATTGCTCGAAATTCATGCACTCTTCATACCACATTCAGCATGTTTAGGGCAAGTTAGTCTTTTTCCCTTTTCAGGATACCGGGAATTTTCATTCAGCGTGGCAAGTCTGTCCTCCTGAGAGGGATCGCTCGATTTCTTCAAGCATGCATATTTTCTCTCGTAGTTGGACCATCTCACTCAAAACTGCAGCCACTTTCTTGAGGTTTCAAATATTTTCCACCAGTAACCAGACAAGGGAGTGCATATTTGTTTGGTGGAGCCCAAAATTGAGAAGGGATTGGTCTGCTTTGGATATAGGCACCCCACAAGACCTACCCTACCACATTACTTTTTTTTTCACCTTTTTTTGCCAACAGGGGTTGAGGTTTGGTGGTCAGGTTCTTTCAAGAAGAGGCTGAGTTATGGCCGAGTCTGTAGGGGCGCTCATGGCCCCTCCAGGGGGCGTGCGAGAAAGAGCTGAGAAGTCAGCAGTAGCGGCAGCAGCATATGCTGAGTTGACGTCTGGCAGGTTGGAACGAGCATCTGGGCGGACCAAGCCTTGTAGGTTGTGTGAGGAATTGGCCTGGGGGGAGTGGGGGGAAGAGGATGGGAAAGGAAACGGGGGAAGGGGAGGGGGAGATGGATTGGCAGGGAGGAATGGAATGGGACAAGGATGGCAGGGATGGGCAGAAAGAAGGGACAGGCAGAATTGAGGGGATGAGCAAAATGCAACGATGCCTGAGAGCAACAAGATAGGGACTACAAGGATGACAGCAGCACTTTTTGAGGACTCGTAGCATGCTTATGCAGGCAGGCAGAGAGGCTTACAAGCATGCGGGAGGAGGAAGGGACTCGTCTGGGCATGATGTTGAGGCCCACTTTAGTTGCCACCCGGATGCTGCAGAATGTGGTAAGACGTGGTGACATGTGGTGAGATGTGGTGACATGTGGTGAGATTCGGTGACACGTGGCTAGGTGGTGATAAATCTGCAGAAGACCAAGAGAGCACGAAAAAATCATAAGCTCTAAAGGTCTAGGAAACCTTCAAGGAGAGGGCATAAGGAGCACAAATGAGCAACAGGAATATACAGATGCTGGGCAGTGGCAGAGTGCACGAGTGAGTGAAAGAGTGAGAGTAAGTGAGTGCATGAGTGAGAGTGAGTGAGAGTGCATGAGTGAGTGAATGAGTAAGCAGGGGCAGGAGTGAGTGAGTGCATGCAGGATTGAGTGAGTGAGTGCAAGAGTGAGCAAGGGAGCATGCAACGCACCGTCGGTGAACGTCAATGTACTCATCGGTCTCATCCACTATCTCCTCCTGTCGGGCCACCACAAGTGGGGAGAAATAAGGACAGAGAGGCAAAGGATAGACATGGGAGCAAGGGAAGGCGACAGAGAAGGTCACAGCTTAGGGACTGGTAATTCTCCAACAATACCTCGGAGAAGAGGGAGGTGGCCAGGAAATGGGAGGGTGTTGTTGGATTTTATGGCAGCGGGGCAAGGGCTGTGAGAAAGCAATGCATCTCTAGTTGTGAAAAGGCAATGCGCGTCTAGTTCCACAGAAACAATGCACCTGCTGCAGCTCCTCTATTACATCTTCCAGTGTGATCATCCCCACCACCTCCTCCGTCTAATCACGACTGCACACGACCGTGCATCACTGCACACGACCGTGCATCACTGCACACGACCGTGCATCACTGCACACGACCGTGCATCACTGCACACGACCGTGCATCACTGCACACGACCGCACATGAACGCTTATCACTGCACACGACCGCACTTGAGTTTTTACGCACCTGCAGCAGCTCCTCTATCACATCTTCCAGTGTGATAATCCCCACCACCTCCTCCGTCTCATCCCTCCTCTCCCACCTCCAGCCCCCTCCTGCCCCTTCCCTCTCCTGCTCCCTCCTCTGTCCCTCCACTCTCCCACCCACCCCATGGCCCTCCCTCCTCCCCGCCCTTGCCTTTTTCTCCTTGGTCGAATACACTACGTCTATACTCTCCTCCGCCCCTGCTCCTCCCGCTGCTGCACCAACTGCCCCCCCTCCTGCTGCCCCTCCTGCCCCCCCTCCTGCTGCCCCTCCTGCCCCCCCTCCTGCTGCCCCTCCTGCCCCCCCTCCTGCTGCCCCTCCTGCCCCCCCTCCTGCTGCCCCTCCTGCTCCCCCTCCTGCCCCCCCTCCTGCTGCCCCTCCTGCTCCCCCTCCTGCCCCCCCTCCTGCTGCCCCTCCTGCTCCCCCTCCTGCTGCCCCTCCTGCTCCCCCTCCTGCTCCCCCTCCTGCTGCCCCTCCTGCTGCCCCTCCTGCTGCCGCTCCTGCCCCCCCTGGTGCATGTGTGCCAGATGAAGACCCCACAGACAAGCCTGCACGAGGCATGCCGGGGTGCTCCTGCCATTGCACATGCTTGGGTGCATGTGGTGCTGTGTGCACTTGTCCCAACCCTGCCTCTACCACGGCAGGCGCGTGGGCATGCTCGAAGCCAGCACTGGCAGCAGCAGCAGCGAAGGCAGCAGCAGCGGAAGACCCTCCAGTCGCCAGAGCAGCTGTTTCCGCCGCAAGCAACACAGGCGGAGGCGTTCTGGGCCGTTCAAACCGATAATGCTGATGCTGATGCTGATGGTAGTGACCAGGAGGAGGAGTGAGGGAGCGCTGCAAGGGGGAGTCTCCAGTGGATGCTCCTCGAAACACAGTGCCTTGTGCGTGCCCCTGAGAGGGAGGGGTCCTCGGCTCCTGCTGCTGATTGCTCTGACTCCGCCCATACCCATACCCATTCCCACTCCCATACTCATAGCCACCCCCATAGCCATAACCATGCTCGTGCAGGTCTTCTGAGTTGCGGCGGCTGTCGCCCCCCTGGCTGTGAGTCTCGCAGTAGTTGGGGTCGTTAAACAGCGCGTGGTGAGAGGAATCAGATGTGCTGGTTGGCATGGTGATTGTCAGCACGTCTGCCTGCCCCGCTCCCCCCGCTTGCACCCCCCCCATGCCACCACCACCACCACCAGCAGCACCACCACCAGCCGCGGCGGCAGCAGCAGCAGCGAGGGAAGCGTGGGTGGGAGGGGGCGGGGTTTTCTTTTTGACGACCACGGCCATGTGACAGCTGCCCTTTTGAAACTCGTTCAGCACACTGTACAGCGGCAAGCTCGCTGCCATCCTGGCAGCAGGGAGGGGGGAGGGGGCCGGGAGAGGCAGTTGCAAGGGAAGCATGGGGGACAGCTGCCCACTTGGAACTCGTTGAGCACACTGTACAGCGGCAAGCTCGCAGCCATCCTGGAAGCACGCAGGGAAGGAGGAAGGAAAGCTCAGTAGTTTAGTTTAGTTTAGTTTTTTTTTTTTTTTTTTGGGAGGTCCTCTTGAAAGGCGAAAAACATGAAAATGTTCACCTACCTGGGGACGCAGCGAATGGAGATGGAGGAGACAGGGGTCACATCCTAAGGGCGAACGTTGAGCAGGGTCTGAGACTACTCAAACGTGGCAGGCATACCTTGGCACGCGGCGGATGGAGATGGAGGAGACGGGGGTCTCATCCTAAGGGCGAACGTCGAGCAGGGTCTGAGACTACTCAAACGTGGCAGGCATACCTTGGCACGCGGCGGATGGAGATGGAGGAGACGGGGGTCTCATCCTAAGGGCGAACGTTGAGCAGGGTCTGAGACTACTCAAACGTGGCAGGCATACCTTGGCTCGCGGCGGATGGAAATGGAGGACACAGGGGTCTCATCCTCGGGGCGAACGGTGAGGATCGTCTTGGTGAGCAGCACACCAACTATGTTGCTGGGATGGCCCCCACCTGCTATTGAGACGCCTCAAATGTTTGTACCCTCAGACATTTCAGAAGGTTCTATTGTTCAGACTTCTCAGGAAGTTGCAAACCTGGGGACGCGGCGGATGGAGATTGAGGAGACAGGGGTCTCGTCCTCAGGGCGCACGGTGAGGAGCGTCTTGGTGAGCAGCACACCAACGATGTTGCTGGGATGGCCCCGATACACTGGTACCCGGCTGTGGCCCCTTGCCAAGATGCGCCCCATCGTGTCCCTGTCAGGTAGGAGGAGGGGGAGGGGAAGGCCAGGGGGGACTTAAGGCCAGTATAATGAACTCGATACAGGCCGCCCCCATGATGTTGCTGGGATGGCCCCGATACACCGGCACAAGGCTGTGCCCTCGTGCTAGAATGCGCCCCATCATGTCCCTGCCAGGCAGGAGGAGGGGTAGAGTGGGGAAGACAGGGGGAAGGGGGAAGGCCGAAATGGCAATCTCAAGACATTTGAAGAGTTGAGTGTGCCCTCCCAACTTCCCGGGCTAAGATGCGTCCCATTGCGTCCATGCCATGAACCCCATTGAGCCCATACATACCAGTCGAGGCGTGAGTTGACGCTGAGAGAGAACGTTGACTCTATGGGGGTCATCGCCTCCTCTGCTGTCTTTAGTCATATGCAGCAGCCGTCACACCGCACAAGCAGAAACGGAAGCAGGGAAAATTATAAGAAAAATAGGGCAAGCAAGGCAAAGACAAGTCTGTGAAAGAGAAGTAAGCTCGAGAGCCTCGTAAAACACAGAAGCTGCGAAAGGCTTGCATGCATAGTAAGGATAAACACATTTTTGAGTCGACTCAGAAAACGTACATGAAGAGGAAAATATCAAAACACCGCCTGTGAGGAAAGGCGTGTGAGTGTACGGCTGTTAAATCAACGGCTCGGATTCACCTTCTGTGTTAGATCGAGGGCGCCGCTGATGATGGTGGTCTCACTGCGAGTCAGCTCCCCTCCCATGCCCGCCTGGTGGTGCCATAGTGGGTGGGGGATTCACAGGAAGGGGTGGAGATTGAGTGTCGGAGTTTGAATGGGGTGGGAGATGGGTGCGGGAGAATCGCTAAAAGCTGTGGGGAACTTGCAATGGGGAGTTAAGTGAGAGGGAGGCGAGGCACTGTGAGGAAGGGGAGCAGGATCGCTTGGATAAAATTCAAGGGATTGGAGGGGTTGGATCGAGGAAGAAGAGGGATGGGAAGGGGAGGAAGGATGGGGAGGGGCCATGAGGAATAGGAACAGCAGACGAGACATGGTTGGGATGTGTTGGGCAGGAGGCATGCTGAGCACCCGTGCCTCTGCCCCTGCAAGCAACGCACCCCACACCTCTGCCCTTGCAAGCACCGCACCGCACCGCACCTCAGCGCCGTGGATGCTGACGAGAGCTTTGAGCTGCTGCCGCCTGAAGAGCGGGTCGTCGTGCCCCAGCAGATAGTCCAGCACCTGATGGGGGGGGTTTGGGAGGGTGGGGGGTGGGGGCAGAACATGGAGGTTGAGGCGTGGGGGGTTGCGCGGGTCGTCGTGCCCCAGCAGATAGTCCAGCACCTGAAGAGGGGTCGCGGGGTGGGGTGGAGGGGTGTGTGGAGGGGTGTGGAGCATTGGGGGTGAGGGTGGTGTGCGTGTGTGGGTGGGTGGGACATGGCACAGCACAGCAGATACTCCAGCACCTGGGGGGTGGGGCGTGGGTGCAATGAGGGGTGGTGTGGTGTGCGTTGCATAGGGGGTGAGGGGTGGTGTGGTGTGGGGCATGGGGTATGGATGGGACATAAGGATAGTCCAGTACCTGGGAAAACAGGAAGCTTTGTAGCATTGGAGCGCAGTGAAACAGGAGGCTTCTAGGCAAGGGGGCGAGTGAAGAGAGAGAGGGGAGGCAGAGGCACCTTGGCGATGGGGAAGGCGATGGGCCAGCAGAGAAGCATGAGGCAGCGTACGAGGGGAATGAGATTGGCGCCCACTGCCAGCCCGTACCGCGAGCACACGGCTTGGGGAATCACCTGCTTAATGGGATGGGCTTGGGGTGAAGGGGGGATGGGTAAGGCAGCATGGTGGGGGACTACGCTTTTAGGCACGGTGATAACAGACGGAGACGGCTTGGGTCACCTGAGACACACAGATGCACAGTGTGTGCTCACCTCTACTCTACTCCCACCTCTCCTCCCCTTGCTGCGCTCACCTCCCCAAAGAGCAGCACGAAGGAGACGGAGAGAGCGATGGCAGCAGCTGGAGGGACCAGGCGATCGAGAAACACCGGCAGGGCCTGCCATGGTGGGATGGGATGGGATGGTACGACGGTGGGATGATGCGACGACGCGTTGATTGATGCGATGATGCGATGTTGTGATGATGCAAGGATGTGATGATGCAAGGATGTGATGATGCAAGGATGTGATGATGCAAGGATGTGATGATGCAAGGATGTGATGATGCAAGGATGTGATGATGCAAGGATGTCATGATTCGAGGAGCAACGAGTGAATATCCCAGAGTCCACAGATTAGAACCCTCAGAAAATCACTGGAGACAAGGAACCCTCAGAAAATCACTCCTAAATGACACGTGGGACTGGCTGGCAGTGAGTCGCTACCTCCCTGACCACAGCATCAGTGAGAGGGCAAGGGAGCACAACTCGTGACTCGTGCCTCACGCTTACCTCCATCGCGACTGCGTTGCAGAGTAGCAGCGTGACTAGCAGCTCGTGCTGTCTTTCCACTAGTAAGGAAAGGAGTGACATCATATCCTGGCGCGAGCCAACGCAACACATGGATCTTGAAGCTCACCTCCATGGCGACAGCGTTGCAGAGAAGCAGCGTCACCAGCAGCTCGTGCTGTTTCTCCACTATGGGAATGATCGCGGCCGCCTGCCGCTGCTCGTCCGCCGTGCCGCTCTGCACCAGCACCTCCAAATCCACGGGGCTCAGAGACATTAGGCCCAGCGTCAGACCCGACATTAGGCCCGCGAACACGACGAGTAACGCGGAGAGACCCGCGAAGAACCACCATTCCGCCTCGCTGATTGGCGGCTCGGAGTGAGTTAAGAGGCCGAGCAGGGGTTGGAAAGCCGTGAGAAGCATGGCGGATGATGGTAACCGCTTGAATGGCGAATTCGGAAAGTCGCCCGATGGAACTGGGCTTGCGCGAAGGATTAGTGTTACGACGAACAACCAGCAAAGGGAGACATGGTTACAGGTGGAGAATTCGGAGCTTAGGAAGCTGGCGAATAATGTGCTTTGTTAGAAGGACGGAGAGACGACGGGACGTCGAGGGGTGAGCAGCTTCAGAAATTCGGGCCAAGGCGGAAAAGGCGGAAGAATTTGGAGGAGCAGACAGAACGGAGGTGTGCTGTAGAGGTTGGAAGGGGGAATTGGTCCTAGAAGTTGTCGTGAGCTTGGGAATGCAAGGAAGTGAGCGGAAGATCCAGAAGGAGAATTGCAATTTATATTTGTTTGAGACCAGTAATGGACTATTCGTTATAATGTTTTCGCATGTTTCTTTCGGTACGAGTACACTTGTTTGGTAAAGCGCACCCTTCAAGCGGGATGACCTCGGTGCTGCTGGGCATATCGGTTGTTGATGGATGTGGGCCACGTGGGATTTGTCAATTCTGCTCGTTCAGAGGCCTGCGATTGGCTGGTAAACATGGTTCTTCGTCAACGCCAGACCAAATCCGTCTGGCCGATCCGTCAATTTCGTGCACTCCAGTTCGTCTCCGTCTGCTTCTTCTCTCCCCCCGTTCCTCATCCATTCCTTCTGACACTCGTGCTGGTCAAGTTCTATCCATGGCTACCACTTTCTTCTGGACCCAGACCTTTATCACCAAGGGTCCTTCGATTCTGGTCTTGCAATAGTAATAGCATTAACAGTATTTCATGTTCATTCCGTTCCCACGGATCTCAAACCTCGCTCGGCGTCGCTGTTCCGCTTGATTTTCGCCTGGTCGGAATCCGAGACTGGTTGCACGTCACGATTTGTCCATACACTATCAAATCTAGTTGATAACGGATAAAACAGTTTCGCAAAATTTCCACGATGCGGGTCGACGTCATCATCGCCGCTTCTCTCTCAGCCGCGCTCACCTTCTTCCTCTCCCGTCGCCTCGCTACGTCCAAGCCTGACTCAAAACCATCAAAAGACGTCAACGCGTCCGACGATGATGGAATTGACAGAACGCCGCCAGCCGAGCCCATCGCCTCCTTCTCGTCCCCGGATACCGTCAAAGTGAAATCTCTGCCACGTGTACGGTCGGAGTTGGAGGTGGAGGACGAGCAGGACTATCAGTTCCTCACGGTCGCGGCGGAGGAGGCGGAGGCGGGCGCGCTGGAGAAGGACGGCGGGCCGTTTGGCGCGGTGATCGTGCGGAACGGGGAGATCGTGGCGCGCGCGCACAACGAGGTGCTCAAACACAAGGACCCCACGTGCCACGCCGAGATCATCGCCATCCAAAAGGTGAGGTAGCTCTGTTTATAAATCCTAAGAAACAATCTCAAGCACAAGCACCCCACATGCCACGCCACGCTGAGACCATGTTCTCTATTGTTCATCCATCTCGCATTGCGCTCTCCTCCTTCTTCCTCTCTCCGTATGACTGCCCTCCACCGCTCCAAACGGCCTCCCATCCAACCTTACCGCTCGACCAATGACGTGCAGGCGTGCAAGGCGCTGGGGAAGATAGAGCTATCGGACTGTGTCATCTACTCCTCCTGCGAGCCATGCCCCATGTCCTTCGCCGCCATGTACCTCGCCCGCCTCCCTGTGAGCCATGCCCCTCATCCCCCCATGCCCCCCATGCCCCCCATGCTCTCAACGGTGCATGAGCCATGGTCTCACTCCCTTCATGCCCTCAGTGCCCCATGTCTTTCGCTGCCATGTACCTCGCCCGCCTCCCTGTGCGTGAGAACTGGCTTTCATGCCTCCATGGCCCCATGCCACCTCCATGCCCTCAACGCCCTATGCTCCCATACACATGCTCCATGTCCCTCATGCCCTCAACGCCCTATGCTCCCATACACATGCTCCATGTCCCTCATGCCCTCAACGCCCTATGCTCCCCATACACATGCTCCATGTCCCTCATGCCCTCAACGCCCTATGCTCCCATACACATGCTCCATGTCCCCTCAACACCCAACGCCATAACCAAGGTGTGACCTCACCTGGGTGTGACCTCAGTGGGGTGTGGCTCTCACCTATCCTCACCTCTCGTGTTAATGAGCTTCTCAAGGTTATTGCACACGGTATCTAGCTCATGTCGACGTGTAAAAAGTGAGTTTTTGAGACGTCTCAAAAACTTATTGCACACGGTATCTAGCCCATGCCGAGGTTTGAGGCACCTCAAAAGCCGTGCCAAGGTTTGAGGCACCTCAAAAGCCATGCGGAGGCGTTCTATGGCTTGGACTCAAAGCATCACAGCAGAGGTCCCTCCAGACATCTACTATCCCACTCCACCCTTCCCCCCCCTGTCCATTTCCCCCCCTCCCCCACCAGCGGTTGGTGTACGGGGCACAAGCGGAGGCCCTTCACGATCTGGGGCATGACCCATCACAGCATATGCATCTCAAGCAACCCCATCCCACCGCATCCCACCCCATCCCACTGCATCCCACCCCACCTCCTCCCCTCCCTTTCTTTCCCCCCACCAGCGGCTGGTGTATGGGGCACAAGCAGAGGCGGCACACGACTTGGGGTACGACCCATCGCACGTGGCGGACGCCATCCGAGGCACGGCCACGTTCCAGAAGAGCAGCTGCCGTGTGAAGCGCATCGTTCACCCCGAGGTGGCTCGCGTGTTCTGGAAGCACCGCAGCACCGTGCAGATCTACTAGGGAGCTTCTTTCTACAGTGCATGCTTTCTAGAAGCTCTTGGTTATTCTACAGCACAGACAAATCTAGCAGAAAGCTCTGTCATACACAGTGTCTTGTAAATATACCGTATCAGTTCTTCCCCCTCTATGTAGCAGTTGGAGTGGCAATACCGTACGGGTGGGGGGGAGAGGGGGGCAGCAGCATGCTTTGGTGGGCGTGGCTCCTTTATTTCTAGGAGAACTGTAGGCGATGAGGGTCTCTTATTTAGTCCCTGGACCCATCTGTGTCAGTATGTTCTGTATGATGTTTTATAACCAGCATTAGGGTTGAAGCCTTAAAGCCAGGATCTCATGTACGGGTTAGCTGTGCAACTGCAAAGCAGACAGGCCCCAAAATTGTAAACCAATAAGACAGGCCCGTTTTTCATCGACTGCAAAGCACTTGGTCTACTTGAGACCCTGGCTTTAATCAGATCAGAGAGCTACTACAAGATCAGCCAACATGGTATTGTCTATCTGAACAACCAAAAGCAGCTTGTTCAAGGTGATTAACACAATGTGGTAAGTACCGTCATCACCCGGATATAAGACAGTGTTGAATAGTAGACAGGGGTTGTCTACTATACGGGTGTCTCTTATAAACAGGCTAGCCTCATTATAAAACACCTATTTGTGTGTACGAGATAAGACATATATGTCTTATAATCGAAACTTCAATAAATTATAGCGAAAGTTGAAATACCGCGTACATTTTTACCCTTGCGAAGCGCGAATTCTTCCACGCGCTGACCCAGGACCTACCAAATTTGCCCCTGCAGGTGTTCTCCATAACGTGGCGTCCCGGGCAGAGGTTGTCGAAGTGGCACCTTCGCAACATCCACACTCATTATGAGAAACTCTTTTTCAAGAAGTACGGAAAATATTTCTAAGTAGTTTAAAAAGTTTCCATTTATAAGACTTATAAGACACCCTAAACCATCCCGTTTACAAGATAACTCAAGCATTTTTGCCCGTGTACGAGATAAGACATATATGTCTTATATCCGGGCGATGACGGTACGATAACTTATCTACACATCATACAGAGACTACAAATCTGCTGATGTTTGAAGCAACCAATGAGATTCTATCCAGTTCAGCATAAGACATAAACTCTACAGCTGAATACAGTAGTCAACAACTCAGTACACCTTCACTCCACATGATCTTCCCTCTCTCTAGACTCTCAGCAACTCAGTCTTGGGAATCCGCATCACAAACGGCTCTCCATCGGGCCCGATATCAGCCAGAGCTGTATCACCCTCCTCAAACGCTCCCCCCACCACCGATACGCTCCCTCCCGCCACCAGCCCTCCGCCACTATTGGCCGACAGCACCGCCTCGCTGATCGGATCCTCCACCAATCGCGTGACGGCGCGGCGCAGCGGCCGGGCGCCGTAGGAGCGGTCGTAGCCCTCGTCGCAGATGCGCTGAATGAGCGCCTCGGAGACCTCCAGGCGGATGTTTTTCTCTGAGAGACGGATGGACGTCTCCTTAATCATCATGTCCACAATCGCTCGTACCTGGAGGGGACCAAGGGGGGATGATGGAAGGGAGAAGGGTAAGGGGGGAGCGAGCGGCTTTACACGCAGCGGTCGTCAAACATGCGCTGGGTGAGTGCTTCTGAGACCTCCAGGCAGACTCTCTGAGAGATGGATAGAGGTTTCCTTTATCATGTCCACAATCGCTTGTACCTGGAGGAAGGAGCAAGGGGGTTTGGAGGGGGGAGGGGAGGATTGGGGAGAATGAGAAAGGAGCGTGGCAGTTCATCCAGCGGCCAGGGAAAGGGAGGGGGAGGGGGGGCAAGGTCGCCCCGTAGGAGCGGTCGTATTCCTCGTCACAGATGCGCTGGATAAGGGCTTCGGAGAAGAGAGCATTGAGCCCCGCGTACCGGCAGCAGGAAGCCCACCCTGTTTCCTTCCCATATTCCCCCTTCCCCCGTGCCTCTCCCTGTCAGACAATTGTAGCTTATGCTGTTGTGTAGGCTATAGTGGGGTATCCCATAGGGGGTACAACCAATTAGGGTTTCATATTTGTACTCACTTCATTTCATAGTTCATTCATTCTTGTTCAAATCTTCTCATGGTATCGAGCAGGTTTCCCCTTGGGAACTGTGCTTAGGGCCCACCACATCGGTTTTTTTTTTCCTGCCCGAAGCGCGCTCAGCCCGAGTCGCGCTCCGGGCCCTCACTTCGTCGAGCCGCCCTAGCGGCCCTTCACTGCGGCCCCGCCACCCGTCTCAGCGGCCCCGCCGCCCGTCTTCGCGGCCCCGCCGCCTCTCTCCTAGCGGCCCCGCCGCCCTACCTAGCGGCCCCGCCGCCCTACCTCGCGGCCCCGCCGCCCCATCGCGGCCCCGCCGCCCCATCGCGCGGCCCCGCCGCCCTACCTAGCGGCCCCGCCGCCCTACCTCGCGGCCTCGCCGCCCTATCGCGCGGCCCCGCCGCCCTACCTAGCGGCCCCGCCGCCCCATCGCGGCCCCGCCGCCCCATCGCGCGGCCCCGCCGCCCTACCTAGCGGCCCCGCCGCCCTTCCTCGCGGCCCCGCCGCCCCATCGCGCGGCCCCGCCGCCCTACCTAGCGGCCCCGCCGCCCTTCCTCGCGGCCCCGCCGCCCCATCGCGCGGCCCCGCCGCCCTACCTAGCGGCCCCGCCGCCCTTCCTCACGGCCCCGCTGCCCCATCGCGCGGCCCCGCCACTCTACCACGCGGCCTCGCTGCCCTATCTCGCGGCCCCGCCGCCCTACCCAACGGCCCCGCCGCTTCTCTGCAGCGGCCCTGCCGCCCTATCTCGCGGCCCCGCTGCCACTCCTCTACAGCGGCCGAGCCACCCAGCAGCAGCGCAGCCGAGCCGCCCAGCAGCAGAGCAGCCGAGCCGCCCCGCCGCCGAGCCGCGCTGCAGCCGAGCCGCCCGGCCGCCCACCAGCCGAGCCGCCCGACAGCAGAGCAGCCGAGCCGCCCAGCAGCCGAGCCGCCCTGCAGCCGAGCCGCCCAGCAACCGAGCCGCCCAGCAGCCGAGCCGCCCAGCAGCCGAGCCGCCCAGCAGCTGAGCCGCCGAGCCGCCGCGCCGCCCTCCTTCCTGGCCGCCCGACCTGCCCTGTCTGGTGAGCACAGCGCCTTTTCACTGCACTGCCCTCACCCTACTGTTTGCGCTGCTAGTCGTCTAGGGTCATGGCCACCCCTAGTGTTCTCGTCTTTGACGGTGAGGGTCGGGCCGTTGACTTTGAGGTCTGGATAGATGACCTGCAGCTGTTCTTACAGTGCGATAGGGCAGACGGCCTCTCTCTCTTTGACCTCACCTCTGGCGCCTCCACTGCCCCTGCTGCTGATGCCGACGCCACTGTTCGCTCCCAGTGGGCCACGCGCGACGCTGCTGCACGTCTTGCTGTGCGTCGCCACCTCCCTACCTCCGAGCGTGCGCACTAAAGTCAGTACAAGAGTGCTCAGACCTTGTACGACGCTGTAGTTGCGCGCTACTCCTCCCCTGCCACTGCTGCACTGAGCCGTCTCATGCTACCGTACCTCTTTCCTGACCTTGCTGCCTTTCCCACAGTCGCTGACCTCATTACGCACCTCTGCACTAGTGACACTCGCTACCGAGCTGCACTCCCTCCTGACTTCTGCGCCAAGAACCCCCCCCCCATGTACATCACTCATTACTACATAGTCACTCGTCTTCCTGACTCCCTTCGCGTAGTCAGGGACCACTTTCTCTCTGTCTGTCCCACCACTCTCACTGTTGACCTCCTCGAGAAGTCCCTCCTAGCGGCCGAGAAGAGCATAGTCGCTGTAGGGGCCTCTCGTGGTGACCCGCGCACTCCCATCTTTGAGGGGTGTTCCCCCTCCCCCCTTCTGCCCTCTGTTGCCTCTGCTGCTGCGGCCGACCTACTTGTTCTTGAGTCGGTCGGTGCGGCGTCTGCCCCTAGCGGGAGACGCCGCTCTGGCAAGGGCAAGGGGGGCAAGGGCGCTGGAGGAGCGAGCGGGGGCGGTGGAGGTGGAGGTGGCGGCAGTTGGGGGAGTGGGGGTGGCGGTGGGAGTGGAGGTGGGGGTGGAGGGGTCGGTGGCGGCAGTGGAGGTGGAGGTGGCGGCGGCGGTGGCGGTGGGAGCGGAGGTGGCGGAGGTGGCGGAGGTGGAGGCGGCGGCGGAGGCGGAGGCGGCGGCAGTAGCGGAGGCGGCGGAGGCGTTGGAGGCGGCGGGGGTGGCGGTGGTGCTGGTCGCGGGTCTTCGCAGAGGAGTGGCTCCGGTGGTGGCTCGCGCCAGCAGCAGCAGCGTGGTCGTGACACCCTGTCCCCTCAGCAGCTTCGTGAGTGGTACACTGCGCGTCAGCGGGGTGGGGTTTTGGTCCGTGCTCCTACGTTTTGCGCACTGGCGACCGTGCGGGTGAGCAGTGTGGGGGTGCCCACCCCACCCAGCGCTGCTTTGGCCGCCTGACGGACGCGTGGCGTCACCAGTTCCCAGAGGCCTCCGAGATCCCTCGCTGGGGCGAGCTGTCTAGGGCAGGTGTTGCCATCTATGATCTTGACTTTGATGCTATTCTCTCTGCCATGTATGCTGTGTCTATTAGTGATGAGGGTGACTGTTACCGGTGTTTCCCGCCCGATCCGGGCATTGAGACTGCTGCTCTAGGTCCTGGTGAGGCTGCTGCCCTAGGTGCTTGCGACGCTGCTGCTCTAGGTGCTCGTGTGTCTGCGTCCTCAGGTACTGGTGTGTCTGCGCTCTCAGGTACTGCGTCGGCTTCGGCCTCCCTCACCTTCACCCTTGACTCTGGGGCGTCTCGCTTCTTCTTTGGGGACCGCACCACACTCACACCGCTGAGTCGACCGGTTGCAGTGTCTCTGGCTGACCCCTCTGGGGGTCCTGTCCTGTCTCGCTTCTCCACAGTCCTCCCGTGTCCGGCGGCTCTCTCTGGCACCCTGTCTGGTCTCTACCTCCCCTCGTTCTCTACGAACCTGGTGAGTGGTGCTGACCTACAGGATGCGGGGGTCCACCAGTTCACTCCTGCACGTTAGAGAGTGACCCACTGTACAGAGGCTGGCACAGGCCGACACCTGGCTACGTTCACCCGTCAGCCGGGGTCGAGCCTGTACACTCTGACCACTGCGTCTCCTCCAGTTGATGAGTCTGGTAGGGTAGTTACGTCGAGTCAGGTGTTTGCTGCGGCGTCCAGGTCTGGTCCTGAGTCTGCCCCCTGTTCGTGTCGTCTCCTGTCTCACGAGACTCTCCTCTGGCACCACCGCCTTGGCCACCCCTCTCTGCTTCGGCTCAGAGGTATGGCCTCCCGTCTTCTTGTGTCCGGTCTCCCCCGGTCCCTCCCTCCCCTTCCTCAGGGCCCTGGCCCTGCCTGTGTCCCCTGTGTCGAGGGGCGCCTGCGTGCTGCCCCTCACTCCTCCCAGTTTCCTCCGACAGAGGCCCCGTTGCAGACACTTCACATGGACGTGTGGGGCCCCGCCCGCGTCCGTGGACAGGGTCACGAGCGCTACTTCCTGCTCGTTGTTGACCACTACTCGCGTTACACCACAGTCTTCCCCTTGCGCAGCAAGGGTGATGTCACTGAGGTGCTGATCGACTGGATCCGCGCAACTCGTCTCCAGCTCAGGCAGAGCTTCGGCTCGGACTTTCCTGTTCTGCGTCTGCACTCGGACAGAGGCGGAGAGTTCTCCTCTGGTCTTCTGCATGCCTACTGTCGTGCACGGAGCATCCGTCAGACCTTCACGCTTCCGGACTCACCGCAGCAAAATGGGATTGCTGAGCGCCGCATTGGCATGGTCATGGACGTCGCTCGTACGTCTATGATGCATGCGGCTGCCCCCCATTTTCTGTGGCCGTTTGCGGTGAGGTACGCGGCGCATCAGATCAGGCCGGAGACCTCCCCAGCCTTGCTGTGGACGGGGAAGGTTGGCGATGCGTCGGCGTTCCGGGTCTGGGGATCTCGGGCGTTTGTCCGCGACCTGTCTGCGGACAAACTATCCCCTCGTGCTGCTCCTTGCGTCTTCCTGGGGTTCCCCCCTGACGCGCCTGGGTGGCAGTTTTACCACCCCACCTCTCGCCGTGTTCTATCCTCCCAGGACATCACGTTTGACGAGTCGGTCCCCTACTACCGCCTCTTCCCCTACCGCACTCCGTCCCTCCCCCCACCCCCACTCTTCCTGGTACCAGGTCCCCCCCAGGTAGACCCCCTCCCCCCTCAGGGTCCTGCCCCTTCAGGTGTGTCCCAGGTAGACGCAGTCGAGCCTGTCGAGGTCATTGGTGACTCTGGTGCTGCTGAGGGTGCTGAGGCTGGGGGTGCTGTACCTGGGGGTGCGGAGCCTAGGGGTGCTGGGCCTGGGGGTGCTACGTCTGGGGGTACTGAGCCTAGGGGTGCTGAGCCTGGGGGTGCTGAGCCTAGGGGTGCTGAGCCTGGGGGTGCTGAGCCTGGGGGTGCTGAGCCTAGGGGTGCTGAGCCTGGGGGTGCTGAGCCTAGGGGTGCTACGTCTGGGGGTGCTGAGCCTAGGGGTGCTACGCCTGGGGGTGCTGAGCCTAGGGGTGCTACGCCTGGGGGTGCTGAGCCTGGAGGTACTCCGCCTGGAGGTTCTCCGAGTGCTTCGTCTCGCCGGGAGCCACTTTCTCCACGGGAGCTGCGTGAGTGGTTTGCCCGGCGCTGGAGGCGTGCTGCTGGTGCTGGAGGTCCTTCGGCTGCTGAGGGTGCTGCGGTCGCGGGTCCCGGAGATGCTCGTCCTGGGTGCACTGGAGTTGGTGCTGCTGAGGGTGCTGGCGCTGAGACTACCGCTGGCAGTCCTACTGGGGGTGCTCCTGGTGCTGCTGGAGGTTCTGGAGCTACTGGTGGTGCTGCTGGAGCGGGTGCTCCTGCTGAGGGTTCTGGTGTTGTCCCTGCTGCTTCTAGCGTCGCCGCGCGGCCTCGACCGTACTTCGTTCCACTCCTGCAGCAGGTTCTTGGTCTTCCACCTTCTACTGGTCCTCCTCCTCCCTTAGAGTGTCCAGAGCCTGTCTCGTCCCAGCTACAGTTGCAGCCTACCTCCCCTTTGCCTGCTCCTTCTCCCTACACTGGTCCTACTGGAGGTCTGGCTGAGCGTCGTGAGCCTGCGTCTCGCCCTGCGTCGCCTGTCCGTGCTGCTCGCACTAGTGGTCACGGTTCGCGTCAGCATCCTCCTCCTGTCCCTGGCACCCACCGGATGTCTCTGCGTCCGTCCACTGCTCCACTGCGTGCCCCTTTGCCTTCTCCTCCTGAGTCCTCTCTTCCTGCTCTTGCCGACCCGGAGTCGGACTCTCTTCGTGCTGCCAGTCCTACTGTCACGCATCTCCTTGCTACTGTTGTCACTGACCTTTCTTTCGAGTCTACTGCTGCGTCTGCTCTCGTTACTAAGCTCGTCGACTTTGCTGCTCGCTGTCGCTTAGACTACGCTGCTAGTCTTGTCGCTAAGTCTGAGTCTGTCTGTGCTCCGTCCGTCGGGGGTGAGTGTGCCCTTGGCACGGACGTCCTTGAGGACAGGCAGGAGGAGTTCCAGTGTCTGGCAGCTGCCTCACCTCATCTCGTGTCCGTACTGCTTACCCCTGAGGGAGACCCGGATGCATTTGACATCCCGACTCCGCGCTCTTACGCGGAGGCGATAGAGGGTCCCTACTCCTCTCAGTGGCAGGCAGCTATGGATGCAGAGATGGCTTCCTGGAAGTCCACAGGCACCTACGTTGACGCTGTCCCCCCTCCTGGGGCGAACATCGTCAGTGGCATGTGGAACTTCAGGGTGAAGCGGCCGCCGGGTTCTCCGCCTGTCTTCAAGGCGCGTGACGTGGCTCGTGGCTTCAGTCAGCGGCAGGGAGTTGACTACTTTCAGACTTTCTCCCCCACCCCGAAGATGACCACTCTTCGGGTACTGCTGCACGTTGCTGCTCACCGTGACTACGAGCTGCACTCTCTTGACTTCAGCACAGCTTTCTTGCAGGGCAGCCTGCACGAGGAGATCTGGCTGCGTCGCCCACCTGGCTTCACTGGGTCTTTCCCTTCTGGTACCCAATGGAGTCTCCGGCGTCCAGTCTACAGTCTCCGCCAGGCGCCACGTGAGTGGCACGACACACTGAGGACTACAATTGCGGCTCTTGAGTTTGCTCCTTCTACTGCCAACCCGTCGCTATTTCTACGCACCGACACCTCTCTGCCACCGTTCTACATCCTCGTGTACGTCGACGACTTGGTCTTTGCCACAGCTGACACTGCTGGACTCGCCTACGTGAAGTCCGAGCTGCAGAAGAGACACATGTGCACAGACCTGGGTGAACTGCGCAGCTACCTTGGCTTGCAGATCACCCGGGACAGAGCACGCCGCACCATTACCCTGACTCAGTCACACATGGTGCAGCAGATCCTTCAACGCTTCGGCTTCACTTACTCCTCGTCTCAGGCCACTCCTCTGTCTACTCGTCACTCGCTCTCAGCTCTGCCTTCGGATGAGTCCGTAGAGTCGAGTGGCCCGTACCCAGAGCTTGTTGGCTGCCTCATGTATCTGATGACCTGCACACGACCTGACCTTGCATACCCTCTTAGCATTCTTGCACGCTATGTTGCTCCTGGGAGACACAGACCAGAGCATATGACTGCAGCGAAGAGGGTGTTGCGCTACTTGTGCAGTACGTCGGGCATGGGGCTAGTGCTTGGAGGGCGGAGTCCAGTGGTCCTCACTGGGCACGCGGACGCTTCTTGGGCTGACGACCAGGCTACGCAGCGGTCGTCACAGGGTTACACCTCAGCCTTGGTTCCGGCTCTGTTTCGTGGCGGGCTCCTCGCTCGTCTTCTATTCTTGGCTCGAGTTGTGAGGCTGAGATCTACGCCGGGGCCATGGCTGCACAGGAGCTTCGCTGGCTCACCTACCTGCTGACCAACCTTGGAGAGCCGCCTCGTTCTCCTCCAGTCCTGTACGTAGACAACAAGGCCATGCTGGCCTTGTGTCGAGAGCAGCGACTGGTGCACAGAACAAAGCACATTGCTCTTTGCTACTTCCTTGCTCGTGAGCTACAGCAACGTGGACAGTTGCGGCTTGCGTACGTGGTCTCTGAAGCCAACACTGCTGATGTCTTCACTAAGGCACTTCCGCCTTGTGATCATCAGCGCTTCTGCACTCAGCTGGGTCTTGTGCCCGTTTTGCCTCACTTGCTCTCTTCTTGATCTTGCTTGTACTCTCACATATATATATACCTGCTCTTGCTTGTCTAGCTTTATATATATGTGTGTGTTCTTGCATGTGAACTGACCATGTGGGCTTGACCCTGTGCTCGGACTGTGTGGTGACTTTGTGATCCACCCTGAGCTTGCTTTACTTTGCTTTGCTTGACTGGTCTTGTGACCCCTTGTTCTCCCCCACTTTGCCTATGGGGGTGTGTCAGACAATTGTAGCTTATGCTGTTGTGTAGGTTATAGTGGGGTATCCCATAGGGGTTACAACCAATTAGGGTTTCATATTTGTACTCACTTCATTTCATTGTTCATTCATTCTTGTTCAAATCTTCTCACTCCCCACTGCTCTACTCCAGAGATCGGAACACCACGACTTCATCGATGCGGTTGAGCAGCTCGGGGCGGAAGTGCCTCTTCAACTCGTTCATCACCAATGCCTTGAGCCCCCACCCAACTTGTTGCCCTCCCAGCCCCCAGCCCTCCCCTGCCTCTCACCTGGTCCTTTTCAAGCGATCGGGACACCACGACTTCATCGATGCGGTTGAGCAGCTCGGGGCGGAAGTGGCTCTTCAACTCGTCCATAACCAGCGCCTTGAGCCCCCCGTACCGCCCCCCGTCCGCCTCGTCCGCTCCTGGCAGCAGGAACCCCACTCTGTTGCCGCCACCACGCGCAATTGCCTGTGACCCGACGTTGCTGGTCATGATGATGAGCGTGTTCTTGAATGACACGTGCCGGCCTTGGGAGTCTGTCAGCCTGCCGTCTTCAAAGATCTGGAACAGGAGATTAGAGATACCGGGGTGCGACAGGAATAGACAAGAGTGACATATTAGCCATCATAAGGCCCCCATTTCCTATCAATTAGTAAGCCGGTGCTTTTAAAGGCCAACGCAACAACAACAAACCGGAAAGCCTAGCACAACGAGACTAACCTGCAGCAGGAGATTGAAGACGTCGGGGTGCGCCTTCTCGATCTCGTCCAGCAGCAGCAGCGAGAACGGCCGGCGTCGCACGGCCTCAGTGAGCTTGCCGCCCTCCCCAAAGCCCACGTAGCCCGGAGGCGCGCCGATGAGCTTGCTGACCGCATGGCGTTCCATGTACTCGCTCATGTCTAGCCGGATCATTGCTTCCTCCTGATGATGATGGGTGATGATGGAAGTAGGGACAGGAGAGGAATAGAGGAGGGTAGATGAGTCCATGTGTTTAGCCGGCTTGCTGACTGCATGGTGCTCCATGTACTCGGTCATGTCTAGACGGATCATTCCATGTTCCCTACCCCTACCACAGCACCCACCCAGTCACTGGCCGGCTCACCGACCAAAAGTAATGCCGAGGAAGGAAGCGCCTTGCTGAGCTCCCTCTTGCCCACGCCCGTGGGACCACAGAACAGCACGGCACGGCAACCGTCGGCCGCTTGGGGTCCTTTCAGCCCCACTTGCACTCACCGCACAGGCCTGGCAATGAGGTGACTTTGGCTCGACTCAAAAGTCACCTCGTCACCTTGCACTCACCGTACAGCCCTGGGCAATGGCTCTGACGACCTCGTGCTGCCCCACCACCCCCCGAGTGCAGCACCTTGTGCCGTCCCACACCCATCTTTCCTACCCCTACCCCAGCACCCTATCAGCCACTAAGTGACGCACTCACCGAGCCAAAGTAGTGCTGAGCGAGCGCCTTGCTGAGCTCCGTCTTTCCATCTCCGGTCGGTCCGCAGAACAGCATCGCTGCTGTGGGCCTCTTGGGGTCCTTAAGCCCCACTCACCAGCCCACATTCTCCCCTACTGCACTCACCGAGCCAAAGTAGTGCTGCGCGAGCGCCTTGCTGAGCTCTGTCTTGCCAACTCCCGTCGGCCCGCAGAACAGCATGGCCGCCGTCGGCCGCTTGGGGTCCTTCACCCCACCCGTGCTCGCCGCACAGCCCGGGCAATGGCGCTGACAGCCTTGTGCTGCCCCACCACTCGCGAGTGCAGCGCTGGCTCGAGAGCAGTGAGGTGGCGCTGCTCGTCTGCTGTCAGCTGCTGTAAGGGGATGCCCGTCCACTGGGACGCCACCGCTGCTATGTCCTCTGGTCCTATGGACAGACTGGGGTGGCGGAGGAACGGGGATGGAGGGAGGCAGGGGAAAGAAGAGAGGGGGCGTTAGGGTCGGGGAAAAAAGTACCAGGTCAGTGGATGGCCTGTGGTGGAGCCCACTCAGTTGGCGCTGCTCGTCTGCTGTCAGCTACTGTAAGGGGATGCCCGTCCACTGGGACGCCACTGCTGTTATGTCCTCTGGTCCTATGGACAGACTGGGGTGGGGGAGGAGGGCGGGAGGGGAACGGGGGACGGAAGGGGTGAGAGGGATGGTGGTGATGAGATTGAAGGCGAAGATGCATGGAATCATTGGTTTGAACACAGCCGCGTGGGGAAGCATTCTGAGTCATGCATTGCAAGCTTCTGTGAGCGCCCACAGCAGCAGCCCACCTTGACTTGCACTTCGTTTGTGTTCTAAGAGGCAGGCTTGCGTGGTATCAAACCTATCTACACTTGGCCCCAAGTCACCTTGTGTGTACAGGGTGGGGATACACAGTAGCGTACCTGTCGCCATCGCCAGCAGGGGACCAGGAAGGGTTGGCAGCAGGCGCAGCAGAGGGCTTGGGGTCTTCTGAGAGAAACGCTGATGGGCCCCCTGCTGACCCCAGTGGCGACTGCACCTCCTCCACCTGCAGATAAGAGAACAAGCCCACCGAGAGAGTGATAGACAAGATAGATACGTTGAAGGCCTGGATTCCGCTCTATGCATTACATCCGTTCTGCACGTCGCAGCGCAAACCCCCCTTGCTGCCCCCATGGGAAGCCGCACCTCCTCCACAGTTCCTGGGCCAGACAGAAGGCGTTTGTTGAGAATTCTAAATAAACGCTCACAGTTGCTGGGCCAACCCCTTGGTCGCTATCCCTCACAAGGCTCACGCCCACCAGTGCACCTCCCTTGCCCACATCACAAGGTGACTCCAGAGTTGACTCTAAGAATCGCAGTCGCCTGTGCCACCCCTAATCGCACCCCAGCGTTCCTCCTTTCCCCATACAGCACGCGCGCATCTCCAGTTTAGCCCCTCATCCAGTTCCTTTGATACTCCCACTCACATCACCTCACTGCAATTCGCCCCATCCCTTCTCACCGCATTGATCGCCGCCTGAGCCGCTCTGATCGCCCGCCAGTACTCCTCCGGGCCGCGGTGCAGCACGCTCGTCTCCCTCTCCCGCCCCCTCACATCATGAACCAACTAGTAAACCTTCTTACCGCATTGATCGCCGCCTGAGCCGCTCTGATCGCCCGCCAGTACTCCTCCGGTCCCCTGTGCAGCACGCTCGTCTCGCGCTGCCGGTTCCACCTGAACCCGTCAATCACGGCGCGACTCGCGGCCTCGTCGACCAGGTCGATCGCCTTGTCCGGCAGGAAGCGGTCCGAGATGTAGCGCGCCGACAGCTGGACGGCCGCGATGAGCGCGTCGTCGCTGACGTGGCACTTGTGGTGGTGCTCGTAGAGGCGGCGCAGGCCGTGCAGGATGAGCAGCGCGTCGTCCTGCGACGGCTCTGCGACATCCACTGGCTGGAAGCGCCGCGCCAATGCCTTGTCCTTCTCCACGTGCTTGCGATACTCGCCGATGGTTGTGGCTCCCATGCACTGAAAGGGGGCGGGGAGACGAAGGGGGGAATAGAGAGGAAGGGGGAGAAAGAGGCCGTGCAGGATGAGCAGCGCGTCGTCCTGCGACGGCTCTGCGACGTCCACTGGCTGGAAGCGACGGGCCAACGCCTTGTCCTTCTCCACGTGCTTGCGATACTCGCCGATTGTGGTCGCGCCCATGCACTGATAGGGGGTGGAGAAGGGCGGAAGAACAGAGGGGAATAGGGGTAAGAAAGAAGAGCAGAAAAGGGGGCGGTGCGGGGGGAAGAGGGGAGAAGGGGAAGAGGGGAGAAGGGGTGCAGAAAATAGTCAACCAACAGGTGTCCAGAGTGGTCAACCTATGATCACAGGTCCATGTAATCACACCCACCTGCAGCTGCCCCCGCGCGAGAGCCGGCTTGAGCAGGTTCGCGATGTCCAGCCCGCCGCCACCCCCTCCCCCCGCGCCGCGCCCGCGCGACACGGCGCCGGACCCGACAACGGTATGGATCTCGTCGATAAAGAGAATGACGTCGCCCGCGCTAGTGGCTTCCGAGACGAGCCCCGTGACGCGCGCCTCGAGCTCGCCGCGCTCCTTGGCGCCCGCGATGAGGCGCCCCATGTCCAGCGCCATCACGCGCTTGCCCTGCGTCACGCGGAATATAGACACACGCGAAATGGACACAAGAATAATCGAAACAGTTAGTACCTGCAGCAAAACCGCTACCTGCAGCAAAGCCGTTACCCGCGAAGACCACCGTACCTGCAGGAAGACCGGGACGTCGTTCTCGGCGATGCGCAGCGCGAGGCCCTCGGCGATGGCGGTCTTCCCAACGCCCGGTTCGCCGAGCAGCAGCGGGTTGTTCTTGGTGCGGCGCGCGAGGATCTGCACCACGCGCGACACTTCGTGGTCGCGCCCGATCACCGGGTCGATGTCGCCCGTCATCGCCATCACCGTCAGATCCATGCAGAACTCCTCGAGCGCGCTCTTCTCTGCAGTAACAGAGCGGGTGGAATGGGAGGGGTGAACACCCGTCAACACCCGCAGAGGAGCGAGGGAAGCGAGGGGCGAGCAAGCGGAGAGCAAGCGGAGAGCAAGCGGAGAGCAAGCGGAGAGCAAGCGGAGAGCAAGCGAATAGCAAGGCATTGCGTGAACATGGAGGGGAGAGGATAGGTGTCAGCACCCGTCATGGCCATTACCGTCATCATGCATGCAGAAATCCTTAAGGGCGCTCTTTTCTGGCTCCCGCCAAATCGACCTGGTGTGCTTCGAGTTACCGCAAATCCCAGATTCGGCATCCTGCCTCCATGCTGAATCCGCAACCTTCATACTTAACCGAACTAATACTTTGTCAAACACGCCCGCGTATTCCCGCTTAAAGCATCCCCGCTTTTAGCGGCCCGCTTACCCTTCTTGGAGCCCTTCTTGCTGTAGCTGGAGGACGACGAGAGCGCGGCGGCCCTCGCGGGGTCGGGGGAAGACTTGGCGGAGGCGGCGGAGGGCTTGGCGGAGAGCGAGATGGAGTCAGTGGAGCGCCCCTCCGTCGCCAGCTCGCCCTTCAGCCGCGCCACCGCCTCCGCGCGCACGCGCTCCTTGGGCACGCCCAGCCTGCGCGGAACCGACAAGGGGCAAGCGGAGATTAGCTCGCGCGCAACGCTCCTTGGGAACGTCCGGACTGCCGCGACAAACTGACCGTAACTTACTTAGTTCAGAAAGGAATAAGCTCCAAAACGCAAAGCGTGAAGCTAAAAGACTCCTTGGTTTGAATTCGCCGTTCGCGTCTCGCATTCGCAGTTGAAACCACACGGCTGAGCGTCCGAATCAATCTCAGACTCACATCCGCGTTACAAGCGTACCTTTCAAGAAGTTTCCCAGCAGCGTCGAACTCGACGCTCAACACCGCCATCACCAAATGCTCGGGCGCGATGAAATTGTGCCGAAGCTTCCGCGACTCTTCCAGAGCCGCTTCGAACACCCGCTTGCTCCCCGCCGAGAACGGCACCTCCGACGCGGGCTTATCCGAGCCCTCGGACGGCGAAAGCGTGCCGTCGCGAATCATTCCGCGAACGGCTTCGCGAGCGCCGTCAATGGTCACACCGGTGTTGAGGTAACCCTTCGCGCTGGCGGTGCCGCTGCTGGCGCGATCTTCCATGATAAGCCCCAGGAGGAGATGCTCCGTCGCTACCTCCTTCCGCCCGAGCGCCTTCGCCTCGCGCTGACCCAGCATCACGGATTTAATCGCGCGCTCCGTGAACCGGTCGAAGACGGCGGATACCGTCGCGCGATGTGCGGAGGATGACGAGGCGGGAGCGAGCTGACGGGTGATGTTGGCGGTGAACGCGTCGGAGTGAGATATGGTGGAGGTTGACGGGAGAGTTGACGTCTGACGGAATCCGTCGTAGTCAGCAGCCAGGGAATGGGTGGCACGCGTGGCCGTGGAGCGAGGTTGGCCGGGTAATTGGTTGGTGGTTCGGGAGAGCTCCAGGCGGCACGGTGGTGCAGTGCTGCTCGCAACGGACAGTGCGAAGGCCGCCATGGTTAATGAATATTCTCAAGAGGTAATAAGAAACAATAAACGCGGGTGGGTGTATCTACACGCGGGAACGGAAGTATGTACGAATATGTACAGAATACGGGTGTGAACCGGCCGGACAGGAATCCCTGTCAGCCGTCTAAAAACAAGACACCACAAGCCGAAATGGATTTAGAGAAACAGAGATTCAATACAAGAATGACCGCATACAGTGGAATATGTATCTATGCTGGTCTGCTGAAGGTGGTTGTTGGGCAACGGTGAATGACGGGGAAGAAACATGGCGAGGTGAGGCGGGTGACGGCGGAAGGTGGTCGGGGAAAAGAAGAGGGGACGGGGCGGTTGGGGGGAGAGGAACGAGGGCAAGCGGGGGAGTTTGGGGGAGACGGGCTGGGCGTTTTGCGTGATTGGTAAGGGAAGCGAACTGACAGGCTGGGCTAGGTACGGAGAACGGGGGAAGCGGGGGATGGATGAAACTCAGAAGCTGCGCGGAGGAGACGCGGGGTAGAATGGTTTGGGAAGGGGTTGAGAGGTTTATAGTATGGGTGTGGTGTGGAGAAAACTGCACACTGCAACGGTTTCAGGGCCTGAAGAACTTGCAGCGGAAACTCAGAGGCCTGACTTCCTGGGGAATGGTGGAAGGCTGGAGAAAAGCTTCGGCGGGAATCGGTATCACTGGAAGAAGTAGAAGCGGTTCGGGGTGTACGAGATTCTGATTGGCTGGAAACTTGGTGGAATGACGCGGAAACACGTATGATATGGTTCAGACACTGCACCAATGTTCCAGCCAAACAGGTTGACCTTCGTTGTGACACCAGACCGTGAAGTGCAGTTAAATATTTCATGATGTGGTTATATTGTTTTCGATCAATTTGATGTGGCGAAGAACTATGTTCTAACACAGTTCATATTTCTTCCTGCCCGGAAAAGACTTCGCTGTGCCGCGTGGCAATGATTCTGGAATGAAAGAACAGCCAATGAGTGCATAACCCGCCACAAACCAAACTACTGCAACCAACCACAAGCGTTCTCATACGAGCTTCATGTTTTGATTGGTCGGATTTCACGTGTGAGAGATCCACGTGAGGAGGAGGCACGGTACTTCCCTTGCTGCATAGCGGCTGTACCCCATACCGACCATTTCGCTCAAACATATTGCAAGATCATTCGACAAAAGCAGATAATATAATTCCCAGAACACAAATACGAAAACATTGATGTCGCATTGTGGGCGCGGTACACCTCTGCAGCAACTAGTATCGAGTTCCCAAATCGCGTATCCTCCATGGCTTCGGAATCCTAGGCTGATTGTGTCTAGAAGCTACTATCAGATGGCTCTCGCTACTGTCAGGGAAAATATGCCGTTCGTAACCATCATGGGACTCGAAAACATTTTTGGTAAAAAAATAAATGATACGGTCACTGCAAAGGGTGTTTTCACGCGACTGATAAAGCGTTTCACGGAATCAGTCACAATCAGCTGGTAAAAAAAAACGCGAATGGTCACAGATGAAACTCCCGCCAAAACAAAATGAAACCCAGAAAGAACCTGGATGCATTTTCGGATGATCAACCCTAAACACGTAACTCGCCAGGTGTTTAGGGTTGATCCGTTCCCAAACCGCATCCGATTCCGATTGGGTTTTAGTTTTTTTACAAGTTCGCAGATTGGTTGGGCGCGAGCGGGAATTTTGTTGAGTTTCAAGTTTTTTTGGCGGGAGTTACATGTGTAACCATTCGCGTGATTTTATACCTGTTGTTAGTGACTGAATCCGTGACCCCGCTTACCAAACCCGTCAGAAAACCCGATACAGTGACCGTACGCGTTTTTTTACCATTCACGTTATCGAGTTCCAAGTTGGTTACTTGTGGCATATTTTCCCCTACTGTCAGGTAGTCGTGTCTTGCCTAAATCTTTTCATGAAACTACATTCCTCTCATCTTCCTCGCGTTACTTCTTCGGCCGCCTGTGTGTCATCCGCTTACAGCTCTTTTTTAGCAGACTATCCCAGCTCTTGTTTCCCAATCCATAATGGCAACATCGTCCACATGGCGCGTCGTCATTAGCCTGCCCAAGGCCTTCCCGCGTACGATTACCCACAAATCCTGCTGTCTCCGTGAGCAATGGCAGCTGCTACTATCGCAGCGGACCGCCATCGCGAATTCAGCTCAATTTCCCGCCGCTCGGTCGCAATGTCACGCGCAACGGTCCGAAATTCAGGCTCGCGCCGCTCTCTGTCCCGCGTCTAGCTCGTCGCCCTACGATCCCTCACAGCAGCAGCAGCAGCCGTTCCAACCGCGCGGCATTGCCTGGGGGACCAGCGTAGCGCGATTGACGGACCACGTGAGGTGCGATTCCAACTCAAACTGATCTCTTTTGTGGCAGCACCTTATCCTCGCCTTTCCTGATCCTCCCCTGCCCTCCCCACCGCTCCCCACTCCTCCCCACCCTTCCCAGTGTCCATTTTTCTGGTTCCCGCGACTTCCCCGTGGTGTACGTGCCATTGTATTTAATAACACATTGCACAACCTTTTTTTCCATGACCCAGCTTTTGAGTCGACTCAAAAGCTTCCCCGTGGTGTACTTGCCATTGTAATAACACATGACACATCCTTCCTTGCCATGACCCACCCACCACACCTCCCCCCCCGTCAACACCACCCCCCTCTTCCGTTCCTGTCACAGCCAGTGTCTGGACTCCTGTAACGCGTCTCCCAGCAGCGAGTACTCCACCAGCAGCGGCTCGGACTCGGAGGATGACGTCAGCAGGGGCGGCAAGGCGCGGCTGCCAGCTCGGATGGCGGTGAAGGCGGAGTTTCTTCAGGCGAGGGAGGCGGAGGCTGCTGTGGAGGACGATGGACCGATTCCTCGCATCACTGAAGGTGGGCTTGAGCTTTTGAGTCGACTCAAAAGTGTGTGTGGCGTGGTGTGGTCACTTGGGATGATGAGGGTAGTGAGAGTGGACATTGAGTGAGTGCGGTCACTCGGGAGTTCCCGGAGTTTCTGCAGGCGAGGGAATCAGAGGCAGCTGTGGAAGATAACGGACCCATCCCGCGCATCACTGAGGGTGAGCTTGTGTGTGTAGTGTGGACAATGGGGATGATGAGGGTAGTGAGAGACAGTGGACATTGAGTGAGTGCGGTCACTCAGGAGGTCCGGCCGGAGACGAGGATGGCGGTGAAGGCGGAGTTTCCTGCAGGCGAGGGAAGCAGAGGCGGTGAGAGTGGGGTGGATGGACAGTGGGGATGGCGGTCACAGCGGAGCTTGTGTTCTGCAGGCGAGGGAAGCAGAGGCGCCTGTGGAAGATTGCGGACCCATCCCACGCATCACTGAGGGTGAGGTGGTTTTGTCTCTGGGGATGAGAGGGTAGTGAAAGTGGGGTGGATGGACAGTGGGGATGGCGGTCACAGCGGAGGCGGAAGTGGCTGTTTTGAGACGGCTCAAAACGCGAAGGATGGGGGGGATGGGCCATGGGGGATGAGTCATGGGGGATGGGCCATGGGGGATGGGCCATGGGGGATGGGCCATGGGGGATGGGCCATGGGGGATGGGCCATGGGGATGGGCCATGGGCTAACGCCTTCCATCTTACGCACTCTTTCCACCCCACCCTTCCCACTATTCCCCCCCGCCCCTCCCACCCAGACAAGGTGACTCTCAGCTTTGCGCGCAGCGGAGCTTTTTCAGTCGACTATAAAAGAAACCCCTCCACCCCACCCACCAAACCCCTTCCCACCCCACCCTTCCATCTCCCACCCCACTATTCCCCCCCGCCCCACCCCTCCCACCCAGACAAGGTGACCCTCAGCTTTGCACGCAGCGGAGGGCCTGGAGGGCAGAACGTCAATAAACGTGAGTCCTAATCTTTTATACCAAGCCCTTGCTTCCTCCCTGAATCTTGCTCCAGACCTCCTCCCACACTCACAAACCCCCTCATGCGAAAGCATGCTTCCCCTCCCCCTTGAGCCCCCTCATGCCAAAGCATGCTCCCCGTTTGAGAAGGCTTGCTGCATGTCTTCTCTGAACATACCTGACCCCATCACGCTCTCTTCACTCCACTTCCCATCGTGTGCCATGGTAACGAGGTGACTTTTGAGTCGACTCAAAAGTCTTCTCTGAACATACCTAACCACGTCGCGCGCTCTCCACTCCACTTCCCACCGCCACGAGCACCATACTCCCTCTCCCGCCCTCCCTCGCCCTCCGGTTCTCTACCACATGCTTCACCCCTCACCCTCTTTACTCTTTCCTCGCTCTTTCCTATCCCTTTTCTCACTCTCTCCTCACTCTCTCCTCACTCCCTTCTCACTCTATCCCCCCTCCCCCCTTGCTCTACCCTCCCTCTCGCCCCCCTCACGACAGTGAACACAAAGGTGGACATGCGATTCAATGTGCTCGATGCTGATTGGCTGCCTGAACGGATAAGATGGAAGATTCTGGAGCAGGTGAGTGATTGGTTCATATGGCACTCCAAAGTCAATGCCACGTGACATCTTACTCTGGTTTGAGCTCATGATGCCATGCACTGTCATCACATACCATGCACCATCATCCCATCCAGCGCATCACCACCCCCTTAAAGCTCTACTCCGTCTAGTGCCCTTTTTTCAGCAGTTCTTTTTCCATGCATGTGCCGCTGCAATGGCAGGAGAAGAATCGGGTGAACAGTGATGGGGAGATAGTGGTATCGTCCACACGCACACGAACACAGAAGTATGTCACCCTTCCCTTAGGTTAGGTGTGGGCATTCAGATGTGGACATTCACGCCCATGTGGACTCTATCCTGACGCATCAGTGGCCTTCTCATCTGTGGCTTGCTGTCATCCCATCCTGCTGCTCTGGTGTCACATGCTCCCATCACGTGCTCCCATCACGTGCTCCCATCACATGCCAAACTTTCCTGCTCCTCACTCTCTCTCCGCCCTCCTCTTCTCTCACTCTGTTCTCCTCTTCTCTCTCTCTGTCCTCCTCTTCTCTCTCCATCCTCCTCCGCTCTCCCTCTGTCCTCCTCTTCTCTCTCCATCCTCCTCGTCTCTCTGTCCTTCTGTTCTCTCCCTCCGTCCTCTTCTCTCTCTCTCTCTCTCTCTCTCTCTCTCTCTCTCTCTCTCTCTCACTCTCTCTCTCTCTCTCTCTCTCTCTCTCTTCCCCTTCTCTCTTCCACCTGTTTGTCGCTCTCTCTGCTACAACCAGGGGCAACATTGAAGATGCGCTTGCCAAGCTTCAGGTAAGGAGCAGAAGCTCAGGTGAAGAGGGTGTAGTTTCAGGTGATCCCAGCAGCTTCTCTGTCCGATTTTCTCTTGTTTTCTCTGCTCATGCTACCACTCTCTCGCTAGAATCGTTCATTGGAGCTCAACTTTTCGAGACTCGAGTGATCTGCAGTGCACATCATCATCACCATTATCATCGCCACTATAATCACCACCACCATAGCCATAGCGACGGCCATAGCCTTTGCCATTGCCATGCTTGGTCGCTCTGTCCATGTGCTGCAGAAAATCATAGATGCAGCGGGCTATGTCCCTCCACCACCATCAGAGGAGAAAAAGGCCCGCATAAAGAAGCTGTGAGTGTCCCACATGGCACGTGCTTCAAGCGTTTTTGTGCTAGACCAAAAGGGTTTATTATTGTGCTAATTCTCATACTCTGTTGACTTGGGCTTCTGCCTGCTGTGTGCCTGGCTCCATCTCTCTCATTCTGGCTGGGTGCATGCAGAGCCAAGGCAGAGAACGAGAGGCGGTTGCAGGACAAGAAGCTCAAGTCCAGTAAGAAGTCAGACAGACGGAACAAGGGCAGCTGGGATTGAGAGCGCAACAAGGGCAGCTGGGATTGAGAACAACACAGGCAGCAGGGACTGAGGGCAGAGAACACAGCTGAATCCTGAGACATAGCAGGTGGCATGGAGAATTCTCGAGGTTCACTGTATCAAATCTTATCTAACCACCATAGTACCTGAATGGTTCTCCCATTTGTTTGTTCAGCAAGATACAGAAAACCAAATTTCCATATGTACAACAGAGCTAGATAAGTGACATCAAAATTGAAGGCCGGCCAGTGACATGTATGCAGGCATGCACCCAGCCTCACAAATGATCTTCTAATGATCTACAGAGCTAACGAGAGGCAGCAGCTTCGCAGCTTGAGCTAACCAGCTGCCATTTCTCCCGATACAGGAACGAGACAGGAATGAACAACCCTGGGAAGAGTTGTCCCTATTTCTTGTCTCATTGGGCAGCGAAGCGTACTGAGGCTGTCTCAATCTGTTCCAAAATCCACTGAGGCACCTCTGCGTCACTCAAGCTGCCACTGCTACTCATGCTGCTCAGGCTGCTGTGGCTGCTGCGCCGGCTTCCGTTGCTACCCCACTCATCCTCGCTATCAGAATCCGACTCGCTAGCATATACGGCATTCTCGGAGAAGCTCTCAACCGAAGCGCCTGCAGGAGCAGCAGACAGGTCGCGGAACCGCCACGCGGCGCCCTGCCATAGGCTCACGCCGTGGACGACGCTTCTGAGAAGGCGCACGAACGAGGAAACCGCGACTCGTTCCGACGCCAGCTGCAACCGCTTCGCCTCCTTCTCGACCTTCGCCGCCATCTGAACGAAAGCCGCCTCGAGAGTGTCCAGAAGCAATGATCCGGTTTCACCGTCGAACAGGAGCGATGCTGGTAGCGACGCGGATTCCTGCAGGCGGCGCCGCCGCTCTAGCAGCAAGTCGCCTTTCAGAGCGGAAAACGCGGAGCCGACGCAGAGGAGCGGGAGGACGAGCGACTCGAGCGTGCTGTCAGACACGGGAGGGAGGTTGCGAGACGCGGCGGCGAGAAACACGGCGGGAGTGGCGGGGGAGGTGGCGGCGCGATACAGGATATAGTCGTCAAGAGAGGGGCTGTCGCCGGCTGCTGCCTGCCGGTTAACTGTCTGGTGAAGCGGCAAGCCAACGAGCGCGTACTGCTGTAGACTGCGTAAATACCGCGCCAGCCAGAACTTGCCGGAACCCGCGGCTTCCTTCCGAAGCGCGGAAAGCGAGTCGCAGAAGACCTTCTGCTTCAGAGGAAACTTCGCGTCGAGCCTCTTCGGAAACGCCAACGAAGCGCTGTCGACAGTCACTTTCTGTTCGTCGCCAACAGCAGGCGACGTCGCGGTGAGCCGCGTCTCTTGCGCGCGAAACGCGGACGCTAAGGCGGTAAACTCGTCTGGCGAGCCGTGACGCTTCATCCAGTCGTCCCAGAGCAGCAGCGGGTGCAGCTGGCGGGAGATTAAGTTGCACGCCGTGCCGGACGGCGGCTGCACGGCGAGCATGGCGAGGAGCGACGGAGCCCAGCCCGCGTCCGCGCGGCGGAGGGTCTGCAGCTTTGCCACGTCAGCAGAATCAGCTGCAGCTGCTGCGCCTTGAGACCAGAAGCTGTGGTCGGAAGGAACAGGCAGCTCCCAGTATTGCCACGTGGCGATGGAATCAGCCATTTGAGATTTCCACGCGGCGAAAAGGATACGCGCGGACGGGACTCTAGAGATCCTGTCGGCGAGGTCGGGGTTAGAGAGGACTCGTGTGGGAGAGGGAGGCCTGGGGAAGAGCGATTTGCGCGTCGCCAAGAACGCTGGGACGTCGGACTCAAAATCGAGACGAGAGGTGGTGGCAACGTCGACCTGACGCGCGAGAGCGGCCATCCTTCCAACAGAAAAAAACGAGTCAACAGTCTAAGACCTAAAAGCCAAAGAATCTGGCCCACGAGGAGCCGTACGACCGAGCCCGTGAGACCGCAAGTAAATCCTCCGAGAAGACGATAGCAAATAATAACAAGTTCTGGTGAATCGCAAAAATCTGTCAAGATGATATATCGAGAGAGAGGGTGTGAATCAGTGGCTGAACTCGAATCTGTCAGGATGAGAGCGACGTTTGGGCCAGCGCAGCAGGGAGAAGGACCGCAGCCTAGAGATAAGGATGAGCTGTCTGTGGGAAACGGAAACTCCCAATCAGAGGCTCTCGTGGCTCGTTTCGACGCAATATCAAGAATAGGAAATGAGCTCTCAAACTCAGGGTTTTACGTGAGCAGAGAGTGATGGGCGAGCGTCAAAGTGCAGTGTGCTGTAGGGTTGCGTAGTCAAGAGCAGCGGTTGAGGTGGAGAGCACTCTTGGGAATGTTTCCGATTGGATGATTCTTGTTTCTGCAGTGTTTGCTCTTTATAGGGATTGGTCCGGCTTGGTGGTTTCAAGAGAGCTGGTCGCGGGAAACGGATGCGATTCATCTGGCTGTGGTTTGCTGGAAACATACGGTTGTGAAAGTGCGCTGCTCCTCTGGTGAATGGCGAAGTTCTTTTAACGGAGTTGGTGCGCTTTGATTGGTGGGTTACCAGAACTGCTGGCCCTGCAATGACGGCGAATTGGTTGGTTGGTGCCACCTCCGACGTTTGTGCACTGTAACGAGACTGAAGCCAGGATATATTTCGCGTGTCGCCAATCAGCACGAGCAAAGCTTTGTCTTGTCTCGCACGTCTCGGGATGCTCAACAACCCTGTCAGTGCTTGGGCTTGGAGGTTTGATTCAGTGAATTGGGTACAAGGCTGAAGCACTGTGAATTGATTCACTGCATCTGGAGAAGGATCGACATGCACAGCACCTGGACACTAACAGTGATTATCTAGCATGTTTATACCCAGTGTGTGTACATTCAAAGTTTACAAACTGTTACGAGTGCAGTTGAGTGATCGATCTAGGATTGCACTATCTAGACAAGAATACAATGAGCGAAGGATTGAGCGAAGAGTAAATAGCGAAGCTACAGTGGTAACGGTAACGTGTGGAAAATGGGGTGCGCGACGGGCCGGGCCCCGAGGTTGGGGATTGTCGAGGCGGAGGTCCTGAGCGCGGGTTACCAACCGAACCGTGAGATTGGGTCGCATCGTGAACAGTAGCGGGAATGGTGTCGAGGCGAATGTCGCGAGTGTTAACGGATTATTGTGGGGTGCGGTTGGCGGGAACAGTGGCGTACGCGCTAAGCAGGGACGCGAAGTAATAAAAAACGAATTTTCCTTACACTACCCACCCCCTTAAGGAGGCCTTTCTTACGAAAGCGCGTGTACATCCCTGAAATTCTGGCTGCGCATATACTCGGTGAGGACGGGGTGGTTTTTCTAACGTATCAGAAATTCAACCCTTCAAGCTCCCCGTGGGTCACGAACTCGGTGGCTTAGAATATTCTCGGGCGTGATGATTGGTTGTGTCGGTGGTCGTATCATGCTGGTTGGGAAGTTGCGGGGCAGTTGGCTGGTGGATGGGACGTAAGGGCGAAGCAGACTGACGTGGAAGGACGGGCTGACGTACCAGTCAGCAAGGAGGAGGTGGGCGGTGATAGGTGTGATCATGTGGCTGATGCGGAATGGCCCGCAATATCGGGGCGGAGTTTCGGGGTTGTGGGCGGGCAGAGGTTTTGAGTGTCGAGTAAAACTAGGTCGTCGGGCTGGTAAGTGACAGGTCTGCGGTGGCGGTCGGCGTTGCGCTTAGCGATGACGTTGGCCTTTTTTATTGCCTCGGCTGCCCGGGTCCGTGCTGCATGTAATATTTCTGCGAACTGTTGCGCACGTGGTACTGGGTTGTCGGGATTCGGGGTCATGGGTACTGAAGGGTCTTGTCCGTAGTTCAGGTAAAACGGTGTCTGTTGGGTCGTGGCGGATGGCGAGTTGTTGTACGCGAATTCGATGAGTGGCAGCTGCTGTTCCCTGGTGGTCGGATCGTCGCACGTGGCTCGGATGAGTTGTTCCATGGTCTGATTTGTCCTTTCTGTCTGTCCGTCGGTTTCGAGGTGGTACGAAGAACTAAATTGCAGTCTCGTGCCAAACTGCTGCCACAGGTTCCGCCAGAAGTTGCTGGTGAATTTCGTGTCGCGGTCGCTGATGATCGCTGCTGGTATCCCGTGTAGTCGAACGATGGTGGAGATGAAGAGGCGGGCTGTTTCTTTGGCTGTGATTGATTTCTAGCAGGCTGCGAAATGTGTCATTTTCGTCGATCGACGTCGATCAGGATCGCGTCGTTCCCAATTGCTCCGGCCGATAACCCTGTGACGAAGTCCATCGTCACCTGCTACCAAGCACGCACTGGGGGTGGTATCGGCTGCAACTGTCCTGCCGGCCGCTTCCGTGATGATTTCATGAGTTGGCAGGTGGGACACGATGCCACGTGTCGCTGTACGTCAGTCAGCATTTTGGGCCAGTAATAGTACTGCTGCAGCTGCTGCCGTGTTTTTTCTGCTCCGAAATGCCCTGAGGTAACTCCGTCGTGTGCCTCCTGTAGTAATAATTCCCATAGTAACGTGTAGCCTGGTACCCAGATTCGGTCGGTGCCGGCTTTTACGTAATCGACTTCCTTTGCTGCTGCGATCTGCTGCGAATTTCCTCATGTGAAGAATGGGTCAGTCTGATAGCCGTGGTAAATAGTCCTGTCAGTTGTGGGCTGGTCTAGACGAGTAGTATGGCGTGGATTTGGGCTGTGGGTCGGGTTAATGCGTCGGCGATGTTCGATGCCCCCTTTTTGTAGGTGACTGTGTAGTGAAAATTCGACTCGAGGTAGTCGAACCAGCAAATCTGCCGTGGGTTGAGGTGGGGCTGTGCGCGGTGTGAGAAACCAAAGGAAGTTAGAAATGAGAAAGAGGAAAGAAGAAAAGAGGGGTTTCACTAGCAAGCAGTTGAGTACATATAGCAAACCCTAATTGGGCTGTACTCGCTATTGAGTACCCCACTGCAGGCTAGACAAACATAACATTCTGACACACCCCCATAGCCAAAGTGGGGTGTAATCAGCACAACAAGCAAAACA